GTCATAATTAAATGGTATGATACAAGTCGCGAATAAAAACAAATGAAGAATGTTTTAACATCATACACTCGACAGCAAATAAATCGCACCACCCGCGACAAGCACTTTCAAACGTATGCATCCCCACTTCACACCAATATTGGTACCATTCAAAAGCCTAGTTCTAAACTTCATTTCATTATAGGAAAGGTTTTTACCCCAAAAATGTTTCTTTAGAAGGATTCAGAGTCACTTCTTCAAAAAATAGATAGTTACGCTTGAGCCAACTTTTATGGCTATAAAACTGTTAAGTTGGGATTAATCGCTATCCATCTGTTAAAGAGGACACGTGTGATCATTATTTGGTTTTATAACCATAAAATTTGGTCTAATTGATCCCAAAGGTGAGCCCGAAGTGAGGTCTTTTTTCAAGTCACATTTATGGTATATGTTAATCATTTATTAAGAAATTAAATGTGTTTTTCTTTAAGGATATTTATTGGGCTTTCAAATAACACCAATATTGTTGGGGCACCATTATTGTGTCAAAAGAAAATCTTTAAAGTTCGCGTCGCGGGTGGTGCGATTTATTTGCTGTCGAGTGTAGGTTTGATTCAAATGATGCATTACAATAATTGTAATATTCTGATGTTTCTCTGAAGATAGAGATGCGTTTACGTTTCTCTTTTGTCTTTCTTTTGTCGTAACGTAATTTTGACATTTTGTTTTTAATGTTACATAACTAGTTAACTACATATTCTGTTTATTAAAACGACGATAAAAGTGTGCCTAAAATTATTTGTAGAGTCACTAGCAATTTTGAAGAAGCATAGCCTACTTTTAAACTGCAAGATAAGATTCCGTATGAACACAGATGTATTACATTTGCACATAACACGTATGAAAATATTGATTTAAAAAACTTAACACGGGTTGCAGTAGTCAAAATTTGAGTACACATCTGTAATATTATCTAACATGTCAACAAAATGTGCACAAGATACGGCTGTATCAATCTGTTTGATATTGCAGTTATCTCTGTGTGGGTAATCCTTATGAATCATATATGACCTTGCATGGCTTTTCAGCTCATAGCATAGGCAAATCCACAACTAACAAACGTCTACAAATCGCTCTATTAAAAAGTGCATACATATAAATCGTCTTTTGACCACATTCAGCGTCACTTTGCCAACATAAAATTTACTTCCTGGCCCGTATCTACTATAAGTAAGAATTAAATTAAATTACTGATCAGTCAATCAAGGTTTCCTTCACTTCAGTAGCACCAAAGGCATAAAATAAATATACCTACGCTTTAATAAAACAATAGCCCAGTTAACAATGATAAAAAAGCGTTTTACCCAAATTAATCGGAGTTACGCGGTCATTCGACCAGATTACATTTGACCCAACGTATTATAAGAGAGACAGACGTACCCAAACTACAGTGCAATGCAATTTTGTTAATATAAACATGCAAATGTTATCATTATCACCTCAATTGACACAACTTATCAGCGCTACTTTGATTACAAACTCACCCAGACTGTTAGCTATTGATAAATAATAATTATTTAGTTACCAACTGGGTTTAAGAAGGCCATGTGCAAATTATAATTACCTTAAAGCTGTATTTAAATAATTACTAGAACGTACATATTATACATTACTATGATAGTCAACATAATATGACTCTACAATATGGTGTCAGTCAAAATTGAGACAGACTTTTGATTATTTGCGATGCTGTGTCTGTGACTACTTTGTGTGCGATGCGATTGACTACTTACAACAATTAAAATATTGTTAAAGTGCTACTAATTAAATTATGAGTTACATTTAAAACTTTTAAGCAATAAAACTAAGGTCATTAGGTTGGTACTGAAATAACATTATATTTTTACCATGTCGTATAATGAAACTTTCTCACGCTTAACTGTAAGTTAGATTGTTTTTGCCGAAACCCACGCATTTTGTTAATTTTAATTAAATTTAAAACAGAAGTTATTGGAGTGCAAATGTGTGATTAATTATTTCGATTTCAATAGCGTTTACATTAGTTTCATTAATCTATTGTTTCAATTGCCCAGTATTACTAAAATATTTAACAAAAACTAAGAATGTTCCTTTTTAGTTCCTAATTGCATGTCATAACTAATTTTCCGTTCCCATAGCTATAATAAATAAACCCAAAATGACTATTGAAATATTTATTAATTGGACAAATTCCCTCACTTTAGTTAACACCAGTTGATTCATTTAACTATTTTATAATTATTATTGACTTTGACTGAATGGTTTGCAGCAATTCGCCTACACTTACAAATAATTTTATCTCAGTACTTAAAACAATTAATATTGCCAAAGATTTTTATTTTACTTTACTACCGCTAGACAGGCTGTGCTGATGCGGAATGATATTTTTCTCTCTAAATTTTTGATTGGTATTAACAACACATTTGAAAAATTTTAACAAGCGCGAGAAACAATCTTTCCGCAAGGTTCACTAAATTTATTTATTGTATAGTATTGTATCGTTTTAGTAAAAAAAACAGCAGTCATATTGTTTAATGAGACTGATATTACCAAAAATTAATTCTCGTACGAGTATTGAGACCAATAAACGTCAGTTAATTTAGGTGCGCACAGTTTGCGTGAATTTTTGACCTACCTTGCACACGCGCTGTGTGACACATTTTTTTTCTGACAGCTATCTAGTAAGACATATTTTTCTAAAATTGCCTACAGTAACACTACATCCACAGTAATTATCACCTGATAACTCATTGAGAGCGACACTTTCTAATTAGAAACGTTCCACGTATATTCTCTACATCGGTCATGTCTGTACGGTCCAGTGCAGAGAAAACTTGCATTAATACAACTTTATATAACTCTTATGTCGCATATCATAAGATTAAAAGTCTGACTGCAACTGTCAGGCTTAATAGGCACTAAAATTAACCTCGGATGTGAGTAACAAATGCAGATTAAACTGGGAATTTTAATTTTCGGTTACCTTTATTAACTCTTATGTCGCATATCGCATAGGTACTAGAAAGCAGAACCTATTTACGACATACCTACTTATTATTATACAATATTGTGCAGTACTAAAAAAAATATCAATTTCAAGTGCAGATAAAGTAAGATACCTACTTACTTGATTTTAATAACACTATAGCAGCAAAAATTACTAAAAGAGGCGATAAGTAAAATTATCACGGAAAAGCATGTGTAAATCTCCAGAGAACACATTTTTTTATCTAAAATACTAAATTATTAAGTTTAAAAGAAAAGTGGGTGAATTTTCCTGTTGTGAACCTTGACTGTTAAAAAAGTTAGTTACCTACTTGTAATAGGAAAATAAAAAAGAAACAAAAAAACACCTTAGAAAATAAGCGTCAATATTCTACCAAAAAAGAAAAACACAAAGTAATTTTAAAATTAATTTAATACTTTACCTTAGATAAAAAAAAGAAAGCACGGTAGTAACACAGTGGACAAGAAAAAATAAACTTTTTTGTAAGCACAATAGACAAAGGAATAATCTATTAAAAGAAAATCTATCTGGAATTAACTACCATAAGATCAATTAAACTTCCTTGAAGCAGCCAATTATGATTTAATTTATAAACAATGCACTGCTATGAACCTTGCATTGTTAAGTGAAAAAGAACTTAACCATGTTTCACTAGGGTCTACTATAAAAACAAAACTCGTTAGTAATAATAGCGAATATTGTTTTATACCCTACAATCAACAAATTGTTGTTAATAAATAACCATGAATCAAATCAAATAATTACAAAGTCAAAGAAAGATGCAATATTCACTTTAAGAGAAGTTTTTGTTTTTAATAACTCTACATTTTTCCATTATCTTCGTACAAGCTCTACATTAATTTTATTTTCGCTCTTATTTTCCTATTTCCTTTTTTAATTTCGCATATTATTTTTTTGTTTTGGTGGGTAAAATAATAAAATAATTATAACCCGTAAAGCCCATGACTCAGTGACGCAAACCATTAGTGTTACAAAAAAATTCAAAGTTCAGTTTCCGACGGGCAAATTCAGAAGAAAAAAAACAATTTTAAATTATTTACGCCAGGACAGGATGTGCTAAGTGACTCTACTAAACCATTATAATCCAAGAGAACCAAAGTGGCTTAGTTATTTATTAATATATTTATACGTAAGTAACTTACAAATAGCAATTTTCGTATGCATGCATCTAATGATTAATGGCGTTATACTATCACAGTAATAGAAATGTTTCAGTTCACCCAAGTGTGATGCCATCTGCATAAGTAGCACTTAAAATAGTTTCAGGTTAAAGTATAGTCAATGTGTTGTATAATCAACACATAATTTATAAACAAAACAAGCAGTTTATCTGATTATAAATAATACATATCTACAACGTATCGACAAATTAAATATTGTACACTTGTAAGTTATTATTAGCGCTCTACATTTTTAATGAATGAGATGTTATATGTACATTTTACTTACTTTTTAATAAACTGGTACAGTAGGTATTTTGTTCTTGAATTGCTAAATATTTTATTTACAAAACTGTTGAAGTGATGAACATTATTGTTTACTACATTTCATACTATAACCCTACATCATTTTAACATCTATCGTATTTCTTTTTTATTATAAATTAGATAAAATAAGGTGATATTAATAGACCCGCTTTTTTGTTTTGTTTTGGTTTACCGCTAATTTGATTGCATGCCTGCGCGCCGGTTTTTTTTTCTGCAAACGTTTTTTTTTTCTTTTTTTCATACCTCGGAGAATCGCACGCATCAAGTGCATTCTACGTGACACCTACTGATGGTCTTATTTCATTCACACTATTGCACCTAACAGATGTTCAAAACAAGTGCACTGCAGCTCTATTTCATTCTGTCACAATCGCGATCATAATTAATTGCATCTAAGCGGTCTGGTCCAAAATTACAATAGGAAGCTTGCGCCTAGATAGGTACCTATTTCAAATAAAATGACTAACCGGGTTGCTGTGGTGGCAGCAGCGGCGGCATGTTGGGCGGCGGGGGCGCCGACGACGACGGCGGCGGCGGCGGCGGCGCGTACGGCGACACCCCGGGGGACCCTGGCACGGAGTCACAGCTGGCTGAGCCGAGGGACCTCGGCGGAGGCGGCGGGACCACCGGGCTTCTGGGTGCCTTGACCACGGGCGGCTCGGGCCGCTCCAATTCAACTCCTGTCGGGTGTATGCCGGCCTCCATGGAACGCGCTCGCGCCTCGTCCTGCGCCTGGGCACGTCTCAGAGCCGTCTGGAGCGCCATCACCCGCTGTCTGTCGGCGGTCAGCCGGCACTTCTCGCACGTGCAGTACCGGTACTTGCAGTATCGTTTGTGTCCCTTCAGTTCGACCTTGAGCCGGTGGTTGCGGCAGCGGGCACAGTTGGGCGGCGCGCGCGGCACTCCCGAGCTGGAGGTGCCGGGTTCGGAGCGCTCCTCGCAGTCGTCGGGGGCGCGTCGCCTCCACGCGCCCACGGACACCATGGCGATCGAGCGGTGTCAGCGAGTAACGGAACAGCGCGCGTGTGTCGCGACGCGCGGTCACGATGCGACTGCGGCGGCCCGCGCGCGCCCCGCCCCTCGCCCTACCGCGCCACGTTGCTGCATTTATTGCTGTGCGATGCAAGTGTGCAATTCCTTGCACTTTAGTTTTATCTTCGCTGTGCGTCCATCTGTAATGAATTTACCGGCTGCGAAGATGTGGCTTCGTTCCGGTGCCGTTCTGGTGAACCACAATGATCTTGTTTTAACTCTACTTTTTAGTTGAATTAGATACTGTTCTATGGAATGAGCGAATATATCACAACTTTGTCGGCCGTTTGGTGTAGTGGTTCAGAACGGACTACTATACCGACAGCTCCCGGGTTCGATTCCCGGCCGGGCAGAAATTGAAACGATGAATTTTAATTTCTGTGACGGGTCTGGGTGTTTTCTATGTACCTATAATATGTATGTATTTAAAAAAAAAGTATTTAAGTATGTTTATATCCGTATATCCGTTGTCTAGTACCCATAGTACAAGCTTTGCTTAGTTTGGGGCTAGCGGCGCAGTGTAAAATGTCCAAGGATATTTATTTATTTTATTAACTGCGTTAAAATAATATTGAATGTAAATACGAGTACAAGCAAAATGTTAGTAGGGAGGTATTGTCACTTCACCGTCGAATGTAGAGTGCTCGCGTGTACAAATTAGAGTTCATTGGAAGGTGAAGATGATGATGAAGAAGAAAATGATGATCAGGCCAAAGGTAAAAGCAAACTTCACCTGAAATCATCACTTAAAATAAGCTCTTCCAAACCGAACTGTGCGGAAAATGCTGCCCCATTTGGAAATCGAACCCGGGACTACGTAGCCTCTAAAACGACATACGAGCTAAAAGTGAGCCAAGTCGCTGGAAGACTCGGCCTTACTACCACTAGACTAGAGTTGAATAATAATTCGAAATGAAAAGTTTGAAAAGTCATGTTGCTGCTTCACTAAGATTAAGACTGATGACACTGCTACCCTATTTGTACTTTCCTCGTTTACTTCATTCTAGCACAAATTCTAGTCAAAACACACACAGAATTTCTTTGATAAGAAATTAGCACAACTTATTATTTCTTAACCAGATTTAAATTGCCTGGTTTTAATTAAGAGACATGTGAAGGCTCCTTAAGAGCAGTTGGCGATTTGCAAACACTAAATTAATTAGTCCAAACAAATAGATATTATTACAATATCAAATTACTAATGCAAATTACAAATCTGAATATGAAAAGTGCAGTGCACGGTAACAAAGGCTCGGCATGCGTGCGGTTCGACTACTATACGATCGCGTGCAACATCTTACGGCACACACGCATAACACGCCCGTGCGCACACTGCAATTTGCGCATGTGTTCGTCATCACTTCACATGTGTGCACTCCACGACAAGCATCGTTGCTTGTCGTGGAGTAAACACGTCAATGTGTGAGTGGCATTTTTCTCCAATATTACTTTATCAAAGAACTCTGAAACTTTCGGCTGGTTCGTATTGTTTACTGAAATCAGGCCTATAAATAACATTTGTATTTTTTTATGTTTTATTTATTGAGTGTTATCCACTCAGATTCAATTGGCCTATTTAATCATCTTTTATCAATAGGCTAGTTTCCTAAAAAATTTTTTATAGTCCGTCATGTTTAATTCAAGCCGTGTGGTGACGGCAGAGTAGAATACATTTGTCACCAACCCCTACTCTTCCCGCGGGTGTCGTAAGAGGCGACTTAGGGACTACACATCAAACAGAGAATGGGCAGCAGCGCTCTCTGAAAAACATCAATCTTTTAAACTGCGATCTCCAACCCGCCTGCCTAGCGTGGAGATTATGGCAAAACCCTCCACTATAGTGGAGGAGGCTCATAGTCCAGCAGTGGACTGTAAAGGGCTGTTGATGACATGTTTAATATCAAAAAATATTGGACANGTTGTAGTGAGCCAGACGGGAAGCTTCGGCGGCGATGCGTTCGAAGATGTCGTTCACGAACGAGTTCATGATCGACATGGCCTTGCTGGAGATACCGGTGTCGGGGTGGACCTGCTTCAGCACTTTGTAGATGTAGATGGCGTAGCTCTCCTTCCTCTTGTGCTTCTTCTTCTTCTTGTCAGTTTTGGAGATGTTCTTCTGAGCCTTGCCTGACTTCTTGGCGGCCTTGCCACTTGTCTTGGGCGGCATGATTGTTTAATGGGATAACGACGATAATAATGTATCAGCTTACAACAACTCGACCGTGCCGAGAGTGACGAGCGAATGTGTAAATTTTTCGGTAGATTGGGGTTTACCTCAGTTACTGTCAGTTCAAAAAGCGACCGCAACGCGGTGTCACTTCGACCAATAGTGTCGTCGCATTAACATGATATTTCTCTCTCGCTCTGTGCCGTCTCGCTCATAACACATTACGGTCTGTGTTGTTGATGGGTGCGACCAGCGAGTGAGTGAGATGGCGATATATGTTTAATATCAAAAAATATTGGACACATATATTTTAATTTGTCAATCTAACAAATAATTACATAGTTATGGTGCGTTGAAGTTCCGCACGACGTCACAACGTGCGGCACTTTAATGCACGCATTGACGTCACGGGTCTCTTCTTATGAACTTTGGCGCGCTTTATCTCTTTCAATTTTCATTAGTTTGAAAAAGTGAAAAATACGTGTAGAGTATTTTATTATTGATAAGTTAACTGACGGACTAATTAAAACTCTTGCTTTTTGACCCAGGAAACATCCCCATTGCACACTTTGTGTAGCACCTATTTGCATTCCGTACCAAATTCCGTTGTTTTACACGTTTACACAATACAATAAATAAGTATAAGTAGTGGTGAAGTGGTAGAGTTAGACATAATATTACACTAGATACTTAAAATATGTAACCAAGTGTACTCTCACTTCAAAATAATACATTTTAGTCTTTACGAGCAGTTCTTAGCATTATTTCAGTGGATAAACTACAAAACTGGGAAATACCCAAAAACTGAAAACAATACCATGAAAAAAAAACAGTAGAGACACTTTTTTCAAAAAAAAATTTATATGACTAATTAATAATTCCGTAAACCACTCCACATTTTTGATCACAATAGTTTCTGTGATTGGTCAAAATCCGTGCTAGAGTGCCCTGCAACGGGACTCTAACCGTTGGCATACTTAGTGTACAGATACCCTAGGTACCCAAAAAACTGATTAAAAATAATAGCCAATTTTATACTTTTATTATTTTACTAGCTGTGACTTCGTACGCGTGAAAACCCGTTTACGCAACATTTTTCATTTTTGCTCTGCACCTTATTACTCGTAGCGTGATAGTATATAGCCTATAACCCTCAATAAATGGGCTATCTAACACTAAAAGAAATTTTCAAATCGGACCGGTAGTTCCTGAGATTAACACGTTCAAGTAAACAAACAAACTCTTCAGCTTTATAATATTAGTATAGTATAGATGTCGTGTAATAAATAATGTCGAAAAGTTTCAGAATCAACTTTTTCAGGAAAGCTTTTTCTAGTGTGACAAATTTACCAATTCAAGGAAGTGGCTCCTTTAGTCTTTCCCAAACTTAGATCTTTAGGTGTCTTTTAGTCTTACAATAAACAATTTGTCGTTTAAATGCTGTAGTGGTGGTTTTACAAAAGCTCTTAAGTATGACCCCCAAATTATACAGCTTTTGGCGACATTAAAGCTCTACATCCGACTTGGAAGTTTCCACCAACAAGTTTTCAAGTCATGTAAGCCCTATTTCTAGCTAGGAAGCTCTATAAAATCACAAATTTCTGTTACAGTTTCTATTTAGTGTTTTTTTCACTACAGGTGGTGAAGACTGAAGAAGCTTTCTTTTTCACCACCTCTAGTTAAAAAAACGTTATTATTTAGCTGCAGTACCACTATTCACTATACTAAAGAAACTATCGTATAGTCGTCCAAAGTTTAACATACTATAAATAAACCAACTTTCGTACACTCAAATTAGATCTACAGAATATCACGCCCAATTGTACACGGATCTGTCATCAAATAACTTAATCTTGAGTCAAGTTTGAACGTTAATGCTTTTGTTATGAAACTTCTCTCCCCATTTGGGAGTCGTGATCGCAGCTAGATATTATATAGCCAATCTAGAATCGTAAACTGCATTATAAACATGTTAATAGTTTTAAAAAGTTTCACGTACTCCATTCAGAGGAGGTTTTATTCAAATTTTACGATCTCTTTGGAACGCCGGTAATAATGTCAGTGTATGCGCATCTGAGATCTTTTAATGGGCCACGTAGTACAATGAATGTTCGATATATTCAAATGTATCCGATCTCTAATATTTTGCATAGGTGTTAAAGGTGAATATCTGATGTGACTGATGTTCGACGGTGGAGGTATAAAAAAGCTTTTTGTTCAACCAGACCAGTTGAACAATATGGACACTTTTCTTCAAAAAGTTTTCAAGTTCTTCGTGGTTAAACATCTTGGTAAGCTAGCTGTGTGTCTACTGTACAGTAATGTATAAATCCTAGACTGCATCTCACTTAACATCAGGTGTGATTGCTGTCAAATACCTGCTTTGTTCTGCATAAAAAATAGAACCACTTTTAAATGAAATTACTTCCCGTGGAAAAGATTTTTTAAGATTATAGAGTTTTTATTTACTTAATAATTAAGTGTCTATTGTAATTCAGTTCCTGTGTAACCGACACTGCCCACTTCACATTCCAGTCCATCTTTTATACATCCCTGCTATAGGTTAATATTAAAGGTGTGAATTTCTCATACGAGCATGTTCGCCACGATTTATGATGTGTTGAATCGGCTCTCACGCACTTCCAGATACTTTTTTTCTGATATGTATCGACAATACCACGCCTATCCAGTGACATAGTATGGTTTTAATTAGAGTTTGTTACTATATACATTATACAGCATCCTTGCAAACGAACCCGCGGGCTAAGCGGGTTCATTTTAAGCTGCACGATATAATATTATGATGCATGTCACTACCTGAGTAGGCGTGTGAGTAAGCTGTTAGGGAATGGAATTTTAGGAGGCTCTATTCTGTTAAAGCATTGCTAATTTAATTTTTTTATAGTTTTCCTTCTTATGCGGAGAGCTTGACTCTTACAAAAAAGAGCTTTCAAAGCTAAATATTTCGCATCCCCGAATCGAAAAAAGGCATTTAGACGTTTTTTTTTAAAGTGGATCCAACAAACGCTCCACAAAATGAAAATTAATAGAGTAGATGATAAAACCAAATTCATCCCCACTTTAAGTGTAAACAATACCTTCTCTAAAAAGATATGCCAAAATTTTAAAAAATCAGAGAAAGATACTTGGAAGATGAAGAATACAAGGTACACTAAGGTAACTAATTAACATTATCTTGCAACCGTTTCATCAGCCAATTAATACAGCACTAATCTAATTCAATACCTAGACCATAGTGACATAGATCTTCAGGGTGCCTACCATGAGTTTACGTTAGGTGTGCTCGCTAGCGACTTCGTAAAAGAATGACATTTAAAAGTATGACATATTGTGCAGCGCCCCTAGCGGCTACTTTCAAGAAATAAAATCTTCATAGAATTTTTTGACGTATTCGCTAGCGAGCTCACCTAACATAAACTCATGGTAGGCACACTGTGGGTCTAGACAAAGTGCAAATTATAATCGCAAAGCAGTCGAAAAGTGGTCGAAAAGCCCCTTTTTTGTATGGAGTTTTGACGGATTCGATTTTCGATTCGATCAAAAAGTGCGTTTTGTCTAGGGGGGCTGGTATTCGCGCCTCATTTGACCATTGATTTAATAGTGACGGCCGCCTTTGATTTGTGACAGACAAACTATTTACAGTTCGAGATTGTTTGATTGTTGCAACATAAAAGCTTTTTATGTCCATATTTATTTGTACAGCTGTTTGGAAAACTGTTTTTTAATATAAGTGGTTAGATAACACCTGATTATACACGATTATAATCGATTGCCGTAATCAAAATGTAGAGTCACTCCCTAAAACATTGGGAATCTTATAAATCTTACCAAAATAAATATTGAACGGTTTTCAATCTTAATATTTTCACTTGGCAATGAAAATACGTTTAGTAAACATTACCTACTTATCACTCAAGGCGTACACAATTTCGTAGTAATTATGTTTCGAAGTTACCAAAGGCGCAGACTAAACCTCAGTAACGGCTGAAAACTTCCTTAATACTTTGCTGAAGTTACTAAATTTATGATTAACAAGTGATAGATTAGGCTCTAAGGAGAGTTACAAGGCCAATATTGTTTTTAAAAAAAGTACATCAGATAATTTTATTAGCGCGAAGTAGAGTAATGATTATATCGGCAAAAACCTTCATTTTTCTATCCGTAAATCTGCACACGTACAAGCTCTTCATTTCCATTTAAAACAATACTTACTATAAAAAACTGTACAAATATCTGTGGTGCGCAGGAGTCAAAGCGCCGCGCTTCTTGTCGGCAAAACAGTTTATAAAACAATTTCAGTAAATATGAAAACTGTTGACGCCTGCCGCGTTATGGCAAAAACTTGTCAGCGAGGACAAGTGTATTCCGCGGTGTAGGGTGACCACGAGTCTACGATTACACAAATATACAGGTATTTTTACATGGAACTAACTCTGGATTTAATCAGCTACTATAACGAAACCTATCTAAAAGAAGAAACTGTTGTTGTTCCGAATAAAAATCATGCCAATCTAATCCCAAACTAAGCAAATATGAAACGGATATAAACACTTACACTTCATAGAATTTTTCACATTTATGAAAATGTTCATTCAGGCATTAAATAATGAATGTATGTTTGACAACTACATTATTGCATCTTCCTCTAGGTGTCTGTCCATGCATCGGGAAAATTTTTTATCAAAAGTTTCATCACCATTGGGAGTCAGACTATGCTTACATTGAGATACCTACCTCATTTAGATAACATAAATATTATAATTTATTCATTTAATAATGTATGTATCCATGTGTCATGTTCAATTTAATTTATCTTAGTCAATAAATACGAGTACCTAATGTTATTCGCAATTGATTTTGAATTAATTAGCTGTTTCTAAGCGCGATGAAATGTGTTTAATTAACAGCAAATGCGTTAAATGAAATTCTTTTTTTTTTTAAACAAAGTGCGTATACAAGTTTCAAATTATAATCAACTCATTCAGGAGAGAAAACAATATCTGTTTCCACAAATGTAAAATAATTAGTATTACATTTACATACTTTATTTTTTTTAAATAAGTTTTTTATGTTTCAATTGCATCTCTTTATTGTGTAGCGTAGGTGATCAGACACCTATATCTCCATTACGTTAAAAATCTCACTTTGTTTTTACTATTAATAAAGAAACAATAATACCTCATCGGTATTACAATAATCACTAATTAACCGAGGAGCTGGATGCGGGCGGCGCAGGGTCGGTCTTTATGGAAAACCTTTGGGGAGGCCTTTGTCCAGCTGTGAACGTCTTTCGGCTGAAACAAATGAATCAAGGATAATGTCTCTTGTTTTTTCTCACTCATGGTGACCCCATTTTCTACTATTTTATTCAGCCTCCACAAAACCAGCGGGGTCACAAAAACGATAATCTCAGCGATGACAAATTAACTCGCGACAGGCGCACGCGCAGTGCACAGTTTTTTTTAGTTTTTTGGTCTCCATACAAAAGTTTATTTTTTGGTCGAGTCTTTGAGGTGTCGGCGAATCGATAATATTATGATTGGTATTTTGAAAATGCGTATGAGCATCAAACTTGCAGAAGATTTTATTTCGGTTATCACTAGGTTTTTATTATGGGGTAAAAGGAGTTCCTTTCTTTCAATACTCAATACTTAATTGTACGAACCGATACAACCCAATCACCACAACCTCAGTGTGTCATAAAAGTGAATTTTCGGTAGCTAAACTGACCTCATGCGTTATCTGCGAAGCGATGGCGAAAGAGCCAAGTGCGAATCGAAAAGGACAGTTTTTGACAAAATTGAACCCTTCAAACTTATAAGGATATTAAAACATACGGGTCGAATTGAGAACCTCCTCCTTTTTTTTAAGTCGGTTGAAAATTGGGGTATTTTACTACTCTAAAATAAACCAAAGGTTTATAACGTTTGGTCAGGTTCAATATGTAATAATTTAGCAAAGATAATAGGTGCAAATAATATGTGTGTAATAGGTTCTGGTAACATGTACCGGTATCTCTAAACTATATTCAGACCTAAGGATCAACATCTTGCTTACAAAATTATTTAGTACTAACTATCTAAGTAAACTTTGGGGAGTTATAAACTGAGAGTTTGTTTGTAACTAAAACAATTACATAATTTACATATTATGTTAGTTTTTAAGAGTAAACTCTACTACTCTACAGCGACTACTTTGCTTATTATGGGGGTAGACTCTACAGTGATAGTACCAAGCATCAACTAAGTAGGGGTGCACCATCTTAATTAAAATATCTACATTTGTGTCTGTTAAATTAGTACCTAAATTATTTCCTATTTCCGTCATCATAATAATAAGGCTCATAAAAAAAAGACGTCAATCAAAAACATGCTGGGCAGAAAATATCACTGAAAACCCAATCCATACATACGAAACAATGCCTTTGCATATAATTAAAATATATTATTAACATGGTCGATGAAAATTGTTGAGAATATTATCTTTTATTCGCGGAACCATAACAACTAATTGCATTTAGCATCCACGATTAAGCCCTTTTACTTTTGGCGGTTAACGCAAGCCACATTTGCCATCTGTAACTGAATTACCCGCTAAAAATTACGCATCATAATACATTCAAAACGTATCAAAGGTAACATAAAGTATACCATTTCTGGGTTAATAGTAATCATTAAGCAACGGTTTTGTAACAATGACTTTTCAAGTAATTCAATTATAATATTTTATAATAACTTTCTTAAAGTACGTACGAGTTACGCGGTAACTTCCTGTCTTCGTACTCTTGTATTTAAATTCAGTATGAAATTGCTTTGTATTATAAAATGCATTTGTTTCATAAGGGATAAATACAGGGTGTAAGATAGATAGAGCATGAAAAACAACAACAAAATAGCTTTTATCGATTTTTTAATCTCAGAGGCTCAAAGCTGTTGGCATCGGATTGCCTATTCGAAATTTTTTCTAGTCTATACCTAAACATAGAAGTACAATTTTTTACTAGGTAATTGCAACAACATCAAAAAATATGTATTAAAATCGGTCCACAACCCAAGTAACATTTTATTCCATTTAAGAGTTCAATAGTCGTTCACATGTACTCCACAAGCTGTGTATGTCAGCTANTTGGATATATTAATTTTATTATAAAATTATCACTTCACGGGATTTATTGCAACAATATCTATTTTAACGGTAAATAATATTTACCCTCCCGACGTTTCGGCTCGGTTGCACGAGTCATGGTCGCGACCATGACTCGTGCAACCGAGCCGAAACGTCGGGAGGGTAAATATTATTTACCGTTAAAATAGATATTGTTGCAATAAATCCCGTGAAGTGATAATTTTATAATAAAATTAATATATCCAAATATTTTTTTATTAGGCCGCGCCGTATTACATTTATGAGAAATAATTAAATTACGCGACGCTTCCCACATGATCAATGTATAACTATAACGGAGCTTTTTCATCGATAGCATAGCCAAGATGATTCTGTTGTTTCAAATGTTTTTTTTCTATAGTATTGACACCAAAATTGTATACAACTAGCTGTCCGCCAGCGGCTTCACTCGCGTGGAATTTCGTCTGTCACTTTATCGCACGCGTCCCTGCTTCCAAAACCGGGATAAAAACTATCTTATGCCCTTTCCCGGGACTTAAACCGTCTCTATGCCAAATTTCATCAAAATCAGTTCAGTGGTTTAGGCGTGAAAGCGATACAGACAGACAGTAACTTTCGCATTTATAATAGTAGGGATTATATTTATCAGAACAGACCGCTGTTAATAAGTAATTTTATTTAATTAATAAATAAACATTGTCGACCTTCACATGAAAGTTGCATTATTTGCTACTGAACTACCATCGAAAGATTTGACCTTTACCCTTTACGCAGGTTTACGTAACTTACGAATAAAAACATATTTTATTTAATAAATGTGTGCATATCTTCACTCAGAAACGCGCTTTTGTTCGAAAACTTCTCAGTTTCATTATGTTTTATACCGTACTAGCTGACCTGGCGAACTTTGTTCCGCCTTAATGGCAATAAATAAGCAGACTGTTTTTTTATTTCGAACGGGATAAAAAGTATCCTATGTCCTTCTCCTGGGTCTAAACTACCTCCCTGACAATTTTCAGCTAAATCGGTTCAGCCGTTCTTGAGTTATAAGTGGTGTAACTAACACGACTTTCTTTTATATATATAGATAGAAGATTCAGTTGAAAGCCACACGAAGGATGTTCGCAATTGTATCTTCAATAGCGGAAAGCCTTTGCACAAAGCAGGATGCCGTCAGTTCCATGTATAAACTATATCATAGTTACGTTCGTAGGTACGTACGCTTGACAATAGTGCAATTCGAAATAGGTTTGCCTTAAAATTGCTTCGTCTATTGTTCCTGTATTACTGACTATAGCTTTACCAAAAATGCTAATACCAGTTCAAAGGCCAGCATGTGAAGGCAACATGTATAAATTTAACGTGGTGTCGAACAAGAAATCAAGACAAGCCAATCGTCTATTAAATTAACTTGCTTGTACCGTTCATACTTCTGCCATTTAATTGAAAACAAAAAAAAAACACGAATGAACACTTGGGAAGCGTCGTCTGCACGTGTCGCAGTTATTGAAAAATTAAAAAAATACAAAATGATACCGTTTTCGCGCTTAAATTTCCAGATGTGTGGTCATCATCCTTCCGCTTTGCCTCATTTTGGATGAGACTTTCTACAGCGTCCTGTAAGACAATTCGAAAAACATGCCAAGCTAGGACCAACTTAAACCCCTTGTGCAAACAATTCGGGACGAGATTATAAAATGGTCCGCATAGAGTGACAATGGTCTATGGTATCTACATAGGTATTCTGAATAATGAACACAGTGGGCAAATAAAAGTCTTAAGAAGCTCACATATAATGAAAAGGTACAACAACTTCGTGCAGTAAAAGTCCCATACTTCGATTATTTTGATGTTTGATCAAAACAAAATTCAGTACCAGTAAGTCAAGACTTACTGGTACTGGTACCTCAAGAGGTATAGGACTCAAAATGAAAACGGTTTTACTATGTTTAGGGGTGGTTAGTTTAGTGATAGTAGTTACCTTTGTTGTCGACTTGGCCTCATCGGCCACGGCCACTCGTTTCTTCGTCACTTCGTTCTGCGCGACGTTATCGCCGGCGTCCTAAACAAAGTTCAGTTAAGGTTAAATAAAAAAAAAATTATATAAAAATCGGATCGGATCATTTGCTTTTTGGAAGGCACACAAATTTTACTATTATGGATAAAATATGACAACACTAACATCAAATAAACTGTTAATATACTATGTTTTTGAAAAGTAAGAAATCTAGTACAACCAAATGGTGTGTTTTATTCATTGCATTATTCCAATTTGAAAATATTACGTAACATACCTACTTCTATGTCTACTGTTACCAGAGAAGAGAGTATATTAATCTAAAAGTTCTGTGTAAGCTATCTCCAATGAGCTACTTGATACACTTAATAACTACTTCTCGTTCATTACTAATAACAATAAGCAACCCAAGCTCAAAACAATGTACTCCGACAAACAAATGTCAATAACAATAAAGTAAAAAAATCAATTCCACGGTTTCGTTAATTATATGAAACGGAATGGTATTTTTTAAAGCTATTATTATTTATATTTACGTTATACGCTCCTACTACCCTCACTACGCCCTGCCATTGCCATTGAGTATTGATTGAGCATGAAATTATATTTCTCTAAAGTAACTAAACTAAGGACTATTATCGAATTCAATAATTTCTATTCCGCGGATATACGTACACAACTGTCGAGAAATGTGCGATAGCAATTCTGTCACCAGCAGAAATTGACGTGGGCGGAGGCCTACTGACTAGTAGATAAGATAAAATCAAAATAATGCGCTTGTAATGCGACTTTAAAGAGTAATTCGACTATGTAAGGTGGAGTTTGGAAAGATAATTATTTATCAGTTTAAGATGGACTAGTCCCCGCGACTTCGTCGTAGCCGTGAAAATATGGCTTCGAATATTTTTTCCAATTTTCGCAAAAATGTTATTGATGCTCTGTTCCTAATGGTCGATAAATGGGCTATCCAACACAAAAATATTTTTTTTTAATCGGAAAAGTAGTTCCCGAGATAAGCGCGTTTAACCAAACAAACAATCTTGTTGTCTTCAGCTTAATCAATTTAGATTTTGATCTATCTTAAAATAACTTCACTTACGTTCAAATTGCGGGGTGACTCAAACACGCATTTCAGCTTGTAATCCATGAGCTGATCAAGGCTGATCTCTTTCCACTGAAATTAAGTGAATCATTAAATGTTGTTCAAACAAATGTAATGAATTCCCATTAACATAGCGTTCACATACCACTTGCTCTAAGTTGGTCTTCCCCTCTGGTGCAATAACACTTTGAACCATGAACTTATGTTTATGTTTTTCATTTTGATCAACATAAACGGGCTGTGGTGTAACTGAAAAGAAAATTTTAAAAATGTTAAATAAGCGAATTATTTATCACATTTTTTTTGTAAAATATGTGAAAAATACTTACTTGCTATTTCAACTTTGGAATTCGGCTCAAGCACTCCAGAGTTGGGTCGCACGCAATATTTCTTAGGTGCAGTAGTTTTGATCTTGAAGAGTACTGTCTCAGTGCTTGGATTTATCAGTCGCATGTAGGTGGTATACCCTTGCTCAAACAGTCCTGTGAAATCAACTAAAAATTTCAATAATATTGACCATATCCCATATCAAATATTTCAATTGCAATATTAAAGTTATTAAACTAAACTTTTCAGTAACTTTAATAATGCAAATATCTTATTGTTAACAAAATATTGATACAAAGAGCTAAGACCCTTTGTGTACCGTCGACAGCACATCAGAGAGTACGTTTTTGTTGCATTGTGGTACCTATTACCACCACATCGGATGTCCGAGTGTCCATCTTGATGTGCCGTCGTCCATAACTAAAGATGCAGTTAGAGTAGGCGCACACCGTTGATTTTTAGTTGGCCGATAGTTGTGCCCGATTTCAAATTGTATGAAGAATCGGCGTAGTGTGCGCACTCCCATACATACCCTTAGTGATCAACTGCCCGACTAAACTATCGGCCGACGAAAAATCAACGGTGTGCTCCTACTCTTATCGTTAAAAATGAAACAATAGCTGGCAGTCTTACTTAGGTAATATGCTCTGTTAATACAGTAATTAAGTAAGACTTAATTGGTAATATTAACCGCCAAGTATGGCGGTTTATAAGGTATAAGGTTTATAAGCTTTATAATTTAACAACAATTAAATGCAATATTGCATTTTTCCCATCCACACATGTGAATACATTTTATTTGATCATATTGATGGATTCGAATAAAAAGATACTCATAACTTAATTTCCAATTCAGTGTAGAATATTGGTCACACCGCATCGTGTCTCTATAGAAACGCTTTCGCCAAACTTTATGAATAGTTAAAGAGTGGACTTTCCTATCTTTAGTTCATGAGCTACATTTTAAGACTGGCACTCACTAGCAAACTATAATAATTGTAACCACCAGAGATACAGAACCAGTTTTGTGTTTACAATAAAATAAATTAAAAACACAAATGTTTTTATCACACTTACTAATGTTTTTGGTAACGGTAACGTACAACGGTTATCAGTTACAGTTTGCTATTTAATATCCGGTTATTTTTTTTTATCCACAACGAGGAAGCTCCTGGCCTGTATCTCACCAATCTTAATTTAGTGTAACCGTTTCACATAGCTGTAAACCAAAACATTAGCAGTATGAGATTCGCAAACTACCCTGAGTGAATGCAGATTCGCAGATTGATTGTTCAAAGTAGTGGCACTCTAAATAACCACTGCGGATAGAGCTTTCGTGTCAGCGCATTGATTGGCGGTATACACTAAACCTCGTTAGTTTCAGCTCGCTACGAGTACCAGGCCAAATAACACCCATTCGTAGCCGAGATCATTTCAGACCTGTACGGCTAGCACGAAAAACTTTCGAGTTCAAATCGTTTGCGTACTCGAATCACCATCAAAAGATTTAGTAAGAAAACTACAACAGCGCACTTGTGATCGTGTTGTAAAGTGAATTTAGTATGATATGTGGTTGCACGAAACTTATTTTGAGAATCAAAATTGTCACGTTATCGTTTAATTCGAAGATTGAGTATCGAATTTTATCGAATACGCAAACGATTCGAACCTTCAGGTTCAGAATGTCCAATTCCCAAAATGTCCAACGGTTTCAAAATGTCCAATTCCCGGAATGTCCAATTCCCAAAATGTCCAGTTCTCAAAATGTCCAATTCCCGAAATGTCCAATTCCCGAAATGTCCAATTCCTGAAATGTCCAGTTCCCGAAACGTCCAATTCCCAAAATGTCCAATCTACACTCGTCGTCAAATAAATCGCACCTCGCGCGACAAGCACTTTCAAACGTATGCATCCCCACTTCCCACCAATATTGGCACTATTTAAAAGCCTAGTTCTAAACTTGATTTCACTATGGGAAAGGTTTTTACCATAAAAATGTGTCTTTAGAAGGATCCAGAGTCACTTCTTGAAAAAATAGGTAGTTAAGCTTGAGCCAACTTTTATGGGTATAAAACTGTTAAGTTGAGACTAATCGCTATCCATCTGTTAAAGAGGACACGTGAGATCATTATTTGGTTTTATAACCATAAAAAATGGTCTAATTGATCCCAGAGGTGAGCCCAAAGTGAGGTATTTTTTCAAGTCACATTTATGGTATATGTTAATCATTGATTAATAAATTGAATGTGTTTCTCTTTAACGATATTTATTGGGCTTTCAAATAACACCAATATTGTTGGGGCACCATGATTATGTCAGAAGAAAATCTTTAAAGTCCGCGTCGCGGAAGGTGCGATTTATTTGATGTTGAGTATACTATTATGATGGGTTTGTTAAATAAGTCCTCATAGGCTTTCTTAAAAATATTTAATAAATAACCATACTTAAATTTAAATAATCATTTATTTATTTCCAAATTATTAATTCCTTTTTAGGTCAATAGAAAAAATAAATAAATAACTATACATACTTGTACGAGTACAAAGTGCAGTAGCTACAAATTTTTTCTACGTACTTTTGCAAATAATAAAAAATTTATATGTTTATTATATGCCGATTTTGCAAAAACTAAACGCATTCGTACAGAAATATATTAATTACTAATTTTTAAGAAAGGCTATGAGGACTTATTTAACAAACCCATCATAATAGTGGATTGGACATTTTGGGAATTGGACGTTTCGGGAACTGGACATTTCAGGAATTGGTCATTTCGGGAATTGGACATTTTGAAACCGTTGGACATTTTGGGAATTGGACATTCTGAACCTGAAGGGATTCGAAGACGAAAGTTGTTCATGCTAGAGGTACAGAACCTGATTACTCTATCTAGTAGATTTATATCACGCTAGATGAGTACTCGGCTTTACATAATCCTATCACCACGGTCCAATTACGCATAGTTCTTAACTTTCCATGAACAAAGGTTCTTTACGTATTTATTTGTAATTGCGTTCTCGAAAATGACGCTAGCGATTTCTATGTTGAGTTTACGAAGCCGGAAAATCGATTATCTGTGTCTCATTTCTTGGAAAAAAGTTTTCGGACAAAAAGTAACATTGCTAATTTTGCCATTGCTAAGCGTTTTCCTTCATAATAATTTAACGTGCTTAGACCACGAGTTGTATTAAAAAAACGAATTGGTATCTAAAATGATAAAAAAGAATGAATGTCAAAAGCATTATAGGTAATTATTATATTAAATAAATTAAATAATATTCAATTGATAAAATGTAATATTCAAATTAAATTTTTCATAATATTTGCAATTAATCTCCGTATATCACGATTAATTAATAAACGTTAATAATTATTAATGAAGTTTGCAACGAATTCATTTAATAATATAGTTTTTTTTTAAATACGGGCTTATGCATAATACAATAAAAATACGCATCATTCACTGCCTACACAGCTGTACCGAGTCGAGTCGTCGAGCGAGCTTTATTGTTCTCCAACTTTACCTAGTTTATTGTTGTTTATACAGGGTGTGTACCAAGAAGTAGTGTCAAGCCGAAGCCCAGAGGTAGAGCATCAGGCTACACAAATCACCGCGACTTTTGATAGTTTTCGAGTTATGATTTTTTTTAAAGTAGTGTTATGAATGTAAATACTTCTGAATCAGCTAGGCCTAGTATTCATCTAATAATAATAAAAAAATCAGGCATGTAACTTGACTATTCGCGCCACAGTGACCAAAAAAGTGCCTTAGCACAGAAATTTAAAACAAGCATAACTCGAAACTATCAAAAATCGCGGAACATACATGGGGGTGATTTAGATAGCCCTAGTGATGCTCTATCTCTGGGCTTCAGTGTGGCTTCGGCTTGACACTACTTTTTGGAACAGCCAGTATAAGTATGTACACGTGATATTAATGTCGCAGTCGGATTGTATAATCCGCCGTTTTACATTACCACTAGGCATTTTACATTACAGCTCTGTATTGTAATACGGCGGTTCAACGTTTAGGCGGATTGTCATTGCGATACGTTCTTCAATACGGCGGCCCACGTTAAGCCGCATCGTACTACTATAGATTGTAGGGTGACCATACTTATAAAATAAAACAATGTTAAATGAAAATAAATTTTAATAAGACAGATTTTAAGAATTATTACCTTCGTTACTGTATAAATAATATATTTGGCTTCAGTATTTTTTTTTACTTATTTATAAATCACAAGGGATAGCCATCTAAAAAAAAGTAACTCAAAACAATTAGACTTTTCTAAACATTTTAAGAATTAATTAGATATTTGGCTTTAGTCTTTTTTAGACACTAAAAATGATCAAAGGGAACAGGTAACTCAAAACAATAAAGTTTTAGTCATTTTTTCTGGGTTATTTTTCTTTAAGATAAAATTATCTTCACCGGCCAAAGCCATATTTTTACACTAATAATATTGTGTAGGATTCCGCCGAAGACCAGAATCCATAGCCACTTTGTCCGGCAGCGCCACGGTATTGAAAATAGGAACTAAAAACTGTCAAAGCGGCGGGTAATGACACGCTGTTTCACATTACGGCTAGCCGTATTGAAGAACGTTTGGCGCCGAATACATTCCGGCGGATTTTCATTCAGCCGTATTCAATCCGGCTAAACGTTAATCCGCCGTATTACAAAACAGAGCTGTAATGCAAAATGCCTAGCTGTAATGTAAAACGGCGGATTATACAATCTGACTGCGACATTAACATATCGGCAACTTTGCAGCACTGTGGGCTGCAGTGTGCCACACGCGTTAAAGTCTAGCTACCTACATATTCTTTTTAGGACTGTAACTACCAGATACAAAACGTCTATTCAAACTTGCAGATCAAGTGAAGAAAGTGGAATGAAATAAAAAAGCTTGTTTAATTATGTTAAAAAACAGGTAACTTCGGAAGTATATCATCCCAATTCTATGCGAATCTCATTAATGGTTACTATTGGCTATTACTTCCCAGTAACTAATGTTTTATGAAATGCTTTATTATTAATGTTGTCATTAGGCATAACAAACTACTCGCTAATCTCTCTTGTCATAAATAAAAAAGAGATGAATAGATTCGAAATTTCGGAAATGACGTCACAAAGCCCCAGACGACCGGAACCCGATAAATAGCCTAGTTTTACTTTAAACGAATCTAATATAATCTTCTTTTAATAAGTGTAAATATAGCGGCCGACTAGGTACAAGCAGATTGAAGTGATGGATGCTGCAACTATAAGGTAGGTATTGTATCAACTATCAAGTAGACCATGAAAGCGCGAACTTATTGGCCAACGGTATCCGGTAATTAATTATGATACTCGTTTTCTTTAATAAATACAAAAAGCTGCGTTTGGCATGTCCGTGCATGGTTTATAAATAAATCAAGTAGATAGTACCTATAGAATAGGTACATGAAAATTTGTAACAACAGTTTTGATATTGAACATTATGCATGGATAGTGTCAATAGCACAATGGAGAAGTTTCCAATTTTATCTTTTAATAAAACTTGAAAATACTAACAATAATTCTGAAAGAATCATGAAAATATCTCTACAAATAGAAAAGTTACAGGGCCCTAAAGTTGCGCATAACAAATATTTAGCGCCATTTGATCGGGGTAGTCACGGCAGTCATTTGGAGTACAAACAGTAAATCACCCCTGCCCCCCTAGACAAAACCGTTTCGACCACTTTTCGACTGGTTTGCGATTATAATTTGCACTTTGTCTAGACCCACTGGTCCAGTGCTGTTGACAGATCCATTTTTTTAAATTTAGTAGTTTTAATTTTTCAGCCAGGGTCACTCAAGATTCTTTCTTAGTAAAATTTAGTAACCTTTTCTAAAATTATATCCCAGACCTGGGCTTAAACAAAAAGAAGAAGACTTTGACATAATTATAGTGTCATCCTGGACAACGCGCCATGGGTGGTAAGCATTGTTTTAGAAACTAGGACTGGTGGCGTGACATCACGAGCACCGCCTATGTATGAGTTCCACGCAAAAATAGTGTATGTGTATATGTAAAGTATAGGTAATTTAAATAATTAATTTCTTAGCCATTTCTTGATGGATTTCAAAAAAACTCTTTTTCGTCTTTTTAGTTTTGGTCTACATTTTAATCCTATTCAGAGAAATATAATGTTTTCAACATCAGGAAACTTCTCCATTATTACTAAGATAGGAAAGTACTTAATTTCCTATCATTACTGGTTTATTGATTGTTGTTTTCAACATTCAATACTTTTTTTTAAACTTTGCTTTATTGTTTCGCAAGTGGTAGGTATTTCATTATTTAATCTGAATATTTTACCTCTATGATTTATGAGTTCACAGATTAATAGAAATTTCTTTGAATTAAATAAGGCAAAGGTGACATTTTGTATTCAATAAAATCTAATAAATGCACGGAATAGGGTACATAAAAAAAACAACAAATTGAACTACATTAGCAGTTATTTAACGATATTGCTTGATGAGAAGGAAAATTCTTATGCAATAAATGAGTTCTGTATGGTGTAAAAATATTAACAGCATACTGTATTCCCAAAGATACATGAATAGATGAATATTATTAAATTAATTAAGAACAACTTGCCAATTGCCCTTAATTATAGAGATTAAACGAAAATAATAATTTATGTTTAAGCATGACTAACTTTGTAATTTTGTTCATTAAAACCAATTATTTTTCTTATAATAAATTATGTATTATGTTGTACAAATTGTACATGTTTCTTAAATGTTCAGTACTCAAGCATATTTTAATAAAATTTTATATAATGTTTTCTATTATAGGTTACAGTGTATGTCCTAATTACCTAAGTGTTATAAATGTAATAATAGTTGTTTTAACGCCAAAAACCATACATAATCCTGTAGATAGACTGGTTCTGTTCAGTCTTATCGAGTCTTCAACAAGACTAAAATTATAACCATGTATAACTAAGATAGAATAAATATGCATCTTTTTCAAGTTATAATAAAGTTTTGAGAATTTGCTTTATTTTACTTAATGGTTACTGAACAAATAAACAAACAGTTATCACTTTGCTTTGTCTGCTAATAATAAATGCTATTGACATGAGAAACATAAATGAGTTATTTCAAATAAACATAGTAACAGAATAATAACAATTAATATAAAAAGTAATAACCAAATACAAAATAAGTAAGTATACACTAAAATATTCCCACAGTGACACTAGTATTTAAAGCTAGATGGATGTTAAGATTTCACTATTATTTTACAATTAAATTAAAGATGTTGATAAAGAAACCTGTCCACAATGTTACACCGGATCCAAGTTGTAGCAAAAGTTAATACATAGTGTGCATAGTGCACATGATTTTGGCAATTGCCTGGTGGTAACAAGTGTATCTATGTATTTGGTTTCACAATAGTCAACTTTTGTGTTCAAATATTCAATATCTGTAGCACTACTCATTAGCATGTAATGACTGAAAATTACAAAGCTTGCACAGGGTTATACTAGTGATATCTATATTTGCCATGAAATAATCAACAATGGTGATTGTTTATAACCTGTAAATCCTTAAAATTATAAATACCAAAAAATAAGATTACTCTCCTGCTGTTAATAAATTCATACTGAAATTTTATTGTTAGCATGAGACATTCGAAAAACTTAATGATGAATATTGAAATGAGCTCATTGTCACAGCAAGGGGCGATGCAATACATCCATAATGTTTGTCGCAGTTGGACACAGACTGGTAGCTCGACTAACATGTTGTAGGTATATCGAAGTTTAGAAACACCCCAGGGATGACATTCCATACAATATTTAGCTCAAACGTTTTATTGCACTAATGAAAATCAACGAAAAACTATGAAAAACATGTAATACCGCACCCTGATAAAACGCCGATATCTGGAAATAGAAACTCCATTTGTCAGCAGTTAGCTAGCTCACGACCTATGTATTATACTGCCCAAGTTTCCAATGCGGCTATTGATGCTTGCGCACATTATAAAATAGGTACTCACCTTTAAACTTAAGCTCGTTTGGCGGCTCTATAGTCAACACCTGGTTAGGCATTTTGTATTATTGTAATTGCTGTATCTCGTTGGCAAAATTAGTAGATGCGGAAAAAAGAATGTTCCGCGATGTCGGCCAAGCGAACGATGAATGACGAATTCGACATGCGCATTGCGCATGCGGTCTCTTTCTTTTTATTCTGGGCCCCTATTCTTAAATCAAGTATTTTATTAATTTTGTAAACCAGTAATTATTTAAATGTCGGTAACAACGACCACATAAGCTAGTTTTAGGTAATTTTTAAATACAAAATATTAAGATGAACTTGTAATTAACCATTGGACTGATGAAACTATCATAAAAATAGGTACCATCAGAATAGAGGCCCTATGCGTAAAAGTTTCGATGCGCGCGCACGACTTGTTCGATCTATATTTACAAAATCGGATACACTTCCGAAAACCCTACTTTATATTTATTTATTTATTCATTAGCATTAAACTTAATCAGTCAGCACATATTACAGACATAATACATGCATTCATACATTGACCCTTTAAGAGTGTAGCAAAGTCAGAATCATTTTAATACTTAGTTAACATTTAACATTAACAATGCTTAACATAATTATATTTTTAAAAAGCGATTAAAGTTACCTGACATCGAAACTAAATTAATAATATGGACGAGTTAATGTGGAGAGAAGCTCGAAATCGACTCTTGTACCACCTGGCGGGATAGATTTGTATTTTATAAACTCTCTGGTCCACTGACGTACTAGTATTATATTATCTGTGACTGAAGTAATTATAGATGACCCACGCTGAACTGTCCCGCCAAACTCAATGACAGGGGGGCGCTACCATCGTTCAACTTTATGGTTTCCAACATGGCAAAAATCGGAACCAGCGATTCGGTATTGACGGTGGCGCCCCGCTGTCAATGTCATCGATAGGACAGTTCAGTATTTTGGAACTTATAATATGGACTTGGCAATAGACTTGGCGTAATGGCTCAAATATAGATGAAAACAACTGTCCCACCAAACTCATTGACAAGGTGACGCCACCATCGTTCAACTAGCTATATAGTTTGATATAATAGTTTCCAACATTGCAAAAATCAGAACCAGCGATCTGGTATTGATGGTGGCGCCCTGCTGTCAATGTCATAGATAGGACAGTTCAGTATATTGGGATTGGTTTAGATTCTCTAAAGGTGTATATGTCACCGTAAGATTATAAACATCGTTTGATTACAATCTATCTCGTGAGATTGTAAACTGTCGAAAAATTGTAAACCGTAACATATGATTGCAATTTAACGCATTATTTTTCGCTTTATTGTAATCTATCGATGGGAAGCGGTCAAATTGTGATCTCAGGAGCTGATTGGTTGAACGTTATGTGCCCCCCGCCGCCCCGGCACTCGCCATATTTGTTTGTTATTTGGTTTGTTGTTAAATGTAAACTATGTGTTTTTGTGATTATAAATTAATTTCGTGTTAAAAATAACATATCTATGTATAGAATTAGTTATGTAAAATTATTGTGGACGTAAAAAAATCTGTGATAAACCAACGAATTAGTGCTAGTTTCCGAACATAACGTAAATTACATAAATTTTTCGTGTTTTAATATTTGTATGCGTGTGAACTTAAGTGATCTCATTGAATACTATTTGCCATGTCGGATATTGAGCCTAGTCAACAAAATGCCTCTGAAAAAACAGGTATTGTTAATCCGAACGAATTTACCATAGAGTTACAAAAATATTACAGTGGGCATAATGAAAATAGTAAAAAATTAGAATGGACAAAATTAAATCAAAGAATACAAAGTATAATAAAATTGTTAGATGAGTACAGCATAATTAAATCTCAAGGTTAGAGGACAAAATGATTGATTTTTTATAAGTTTTTTTTTATAATTTCCCAATTTCAGTTCGAGTTTGAGGACAAAATAACCGTTTTTGTGTTTAATTTTATTTTTTGTTACACGACAAAATATTTTTTATAAAAGTGTTTTTTTGATATTTCCAATTTTATTTTATGTTTAAAGACAAAATAATTGTTACCTACTAAATAATAAACAAATACTTGAAGAATTTTTGAAGTGTATTTATTTTATTTAACTATCATCTCTATTTCATTTCTAACTCTGTGGGGACAAAGAACGGCTGGTCGTGATTGGTCGCTCTTACAATAAGACCGACCAATCAGGAAGAGCTTTCGGACAGTTGACAATTTGACGCGGGACAGATTGTAATTTTACAGTTTCACTTCGATAGATTACAATATAGCGAAAAATAATGCGTTAAATTGCAATCATATGTTACGGTTCACAATTTTTCGACAGTTTACAATCTCACGAGATAGATTGTAATCGAACGATGTTTGCAATCTTACGGTGACATATACAGTAATAAAACCTTAGAATATCCCTTACTTCGGTGTGCGGGCTAGCCGTAGAGGCTAGCGCTTCGATTTGGACAATTTGCCGCATATAGATGACCCACGCTGAACTGTCCCACCAAACTCAATGACAGGGGGGCGCTACCATCGTTCAACTATATGGTTTTCAACATGGCAAAAATCGGAACTAGCGATCCGGTATTGACGGTGGCGCCCCACTGTCAATGTCATGCATAGGACAGTTCAGTATTTTGGATCTGTACTAGGATAATTATGCGGCAAATTGTCAATAGTCATTGGCCGCATATAATGTACTTGCTGCGCTAAGACTTGCGCCAAGTAGCGCGGAGTTCGCCAAGTCGCACGCGATATGACATCATCACAGATATGGATTCTGTGGACATCATCACTGACAACGTTGCAATTGCAAACTAGAAATGGCAAAAATAAAGGGGTTAAAGTATGAAATTGCTTATTTTTTTCTTTAATGTTTATTATAATTTCTTCATTAACTTTGTCCATTCTTCAAACATTAGTCAGCCGTTTGGTGTAGTGGTTCAGAACGGACTACTGTGCCGAGAGGTCCCGGATTCAATGGGGATGTTGCCTGGGTCAAAAAGCAAGAGTTTTAATTAGTCCGTCAGTTAACTTATCAGAAAATACTCTACACGTATTTTTCACTTTTTCAAACTAATGAAAATTTAAAGAGATAAAGCGCCCCAAAGTTCATAAGAAGAGGCCCGTGACGTCAACGCTTGCTTAAAAATGCCGCACGTTGTGACGTCGTGCGCAACTTCAACGCACCATAACTATGTAATTATTTGTTAGATTGACAAATAAAAATATATGTGTCCAATATTTTTTGATATTAAACATTACGGACTAAAAAAAATTTTTTAGGCAACTAGCCTATTCCCGGTTGGGCAGAAATTGAAATAATGAATTTTTAATTTCTGTGATTGTGATTAAAATTGATCACTTGATATAGATGACCCACGCTGAACTGTCCCACCAAACTCAATGACAGGGGGGCGCTACCATCGTTCAACTATATGGTTTTCAACATGGCAAAAATCGGAACTAGCGATCCGGTATTGACGGTGGCGCCCCACTGTCAATGTCATGCATAGGACAGTTCAGTATTTTGGATCTGTGAAACTGGCTGTATGTCTAAAACCACATAAAGCCATAATTTAAAATAAAAAAAAAAGTAAAATCATGAAACTGTCAGTCAGTGTCAATATTTGTAAAATTGAAAGTGCCGTAGGTAGCGGGGGCGCTAGTATCTATGCACAATTTGCCAATCTTCATACTTTCTACATTAGTTCCATGAAAATTCGGCATTCATTCCTTTTTCAGATCCAGGACGTCCTGCATTGCATTGCAGCTGTTGTACGGGCTGTGACTAAAAAAACCATAAATGTCAAAAATGGGTAAATAATTGGCAAGACGAGAAACTCGATAAAATTGGAAAAACAGCTAGAAACATTGATTTACTTCTTAATTGAGTATGGTTGCATAACATGCCCGTAAAAACCGGCTGTTTCTGTTTATCTTCTCCGTAAACATGAGTTATTCCAATATAAACATAATTGTTAATTCGTGTCTAAAATTAGATCCTGGGCTCCGGCAAAAATTATTAGGTAACTGGAATAAAGACTTTTTAGCTAGCTGCCCACCGACTTACGGGCGCTCATTTCATTCATGTAAACAATTAAGACAAGCTCAAAAAGATGCAGTTACGGTGCTACCATCGCCTCAAGAAGTAAGTCCATTTTAAGTACCTATCAAACTTGACCTTAAACCTTAAAAAACAAACTAGCTGGTCCTAGTTTTATCACACAATTGCCAATCACTGCTACTCGACTTTTAAACCTGTTTGTGTTTGAAATTTATAAATGATCAATGTTCTACATTTGCATTGAAGATAAGTGTCCAAAAGAGGACCTATTTTAATTATTGACTGTCTTTTTTATGTATTGTTATATTTTTGTAGGTTACAGTAATTTTACGGAAGAATGAATTTAACAAGGAATTTACATCTGGTGCAGTTAAGTCCTATGATTCCAACCAGCTGGCATCAAACGATCCCATTGAAGATACAAGAAGTGAAGCTCAGTGCAAGATGACATCAGGTAATTTCAATAGTTTGTTGTTATTTTGAATTACATGATGCTGATGACCCATATCCAACTAACCGTGCCATTTCAGAGGCAATGTAACATAATTCAGGATTTGGATATATAACTATCCTGTTGAGGAATAAGACCTTACTTCATTCATAGGATCATCCCATTGAGGAAGATACCTAGTGGTGATTTTTTTCCGTTCATCATCAACACATCTGCTTTTATACTTCTGACTGATATCTACATAGGTAAATGCTAAGAAATATATCACAGCTCGTATGTAAGGGTGATGGTTACTATTAACATAAACCAGATTCAAAAGTTAATTGATGTACCTACTTAATAAAAAATGATGCTAAGGCGAATTCTTAAACAGTGCTATCATTGTGTATACTTTAATATTACTTATCATTTGTGGATATTCCTCTTTTTTTATGTTTTTGTGAATGAAATCTAAGGCCTGGATTTCACCAACGCCTAGCGATGCAGAGAAATGTTTTGAATAACCAAACAGATATATTATTGGAGAATGGAGTTCTGATTGTTTATCCAATACTTTTTTCTGCTCCGCATTGGTAGAAACCGGGACTAAAAGTTGGTAGAAAACGGTAGTAAAAGTTTATATTTTATAAACTTTTACAAAGCTGTGACATTGGCACAACAATGGCTCTTAAGCAAGTTAATTTTATCACTTTGTTACTTTGGAGATAAATAGCAATGTTGGAAGTTATTCAGTTGCAGTTATTAATCTCTTTATGATATTTGAAGTATAAATAATGTCTCTATATTTAAGCGAGTTCTTATAATGCCCACATCTCCATCATAACCCTATTCAGGTCTTGTACTACTATTGTGTAAATAAAATTTGTGACTGTTACAAAATATTTCAGGTCTCTTAATGGGAATTTTTGACGGCCATGGTGGACCAGCTTGTGCTCAGGTGATCTCGAAGAGGCTGTTAAACTATGTGGCTGCTGCACTACTTCCTTTAAATGATCTAAAGAAATATATTAGGACTGAACCAAAAGAAAATTTGCTGGACACTTATAATGATAGGGTACTTATATTTATATCTTTTAATAATTACATAATAATATTACAATATTAAGGTAAACAGTATTGTTGATAATAATCAATTTTCATTGTTTTTTCTAGGTGGAAATTGTAGAAGATTTGAAAATAATGTATGAGAACAGTTTCAAAGAATATTTACAAGAATTATCAAATTTACCTAGAGAGGGTGCAGACATACGTACGTCATTGGAGCAAAGTATTATGAAATTAGATAGTGATATATCAAAAGAAGTAATTGAACCCTTCAAAAAATCAGGCACCATTAACCCCAAGACACTATCAGTGGCGCTGTCTGGAGCAGTTGCATGTCTTTCTCATATTGACGGACCTCATTTGCATGTAGCTAATGTTGGTGACTGCAATGCTGTGCTAGGAACCTTGACAGAAGATAACGAATGGATTGCAAAAAAAATCACTAAAGAGCACAATTCTGAAAACTTTGACGAACTGAAAAGAATATGGAATGAGCACCCAGACAGTGAAAGAAAGACTGTGATAAGAAGAGACCGTTTGCTCGGGGAGTTGGCCCCACTGCGCAGTTTAGGCGATTATCGTTACAAGTGGTCTCTGGAGACTTTGAACAACGTGGCTGTCCCACTGGTCGGCCAAAGAGCCGTACCTCCCAACTATCACACACCGCCTTATTTAACTGCACTGCCAGATATTTATTACCATCGACTCACATCGAAAGATAAGTTTATGATCATTGCCTCAGATGGGCTGTGGGATATGATGACACCCTTGCAAGCGGTGAAGTTGGTGGGTGAGCATATGAAGGGCAAAGTGTTTTTCAATCCGCTCAAATTGCCGAGAAAGAATATACAGTTGGGGGACATCAACGATTTGTTGTTACACAGAAGGGAGAGTTTGAAGAGTAAGCCGAAGGATAGGAATGCAGCGACGCACTTGATTCGGCACGCGATCGGCGGGACTGAGTATGGCGTGGACCACTCGCGCTTGGCGCACTTACTTAGCTTGGCGCCCGACGTCAGCCGTATGTTCCGCGACGACATCACGGTCACTGTCGTTTTCTTCGACTCAGAATATCTCAGGCAATGTCCCACCTAAATGTATCAATATCCGTCTATCATACAAAGCAACGACTTGGGTGCATCACTGTTTACAATCGAAATTGGACAGTGACGTTTTAATTTTAAGAACACCATCACAAGATTGTCTGAATCGTGTTTATGTGTGTGTGGATTGTTACAGTCCATTATATCCATGAAAAGGCGTAGATTTTCAGAGATTCTTCCAATATATGCTTCCATAAATATTATCTTGATGTTTATATTTCCACTGAATGAATAAGAAACTGGAAAGATATGAAATGAGAAAATATTACTCACTTGCTTGGAAAGGTGCTAATCTTCGTACATATAGACTTATTATTAAGTGCACTCCTTATGCATCAACCAACCACTGCATATAAGCTAAGTAAGTTTCACAGCCCTTTTTTTATTGGATTCCCGTGAGTTCAAGAGTTATTTTTACTATCCTAGGACCCAGGTGTTATAGCAAAAGAAATTCTTTTTGCATGGCTTAGCGTTCCATTTGTTTGCTCTGTGAATCAACATAATGAAAAAAATACTGCAAGTGGCTATAAACTGAAATGTAAAAACATTAGTTTTTTAAACTACTGGCCTTTATTTTAGTTGTGTTATGTAGTTTATTTCGTGTTATTTATTATTTAATACACACGAACAATGATATGATCTGCTTAAAGATATTGTCAGCCGTTTTATACTATTATTTTGAATATGTTTTTTTTAAGTAATCTTATTTAGCGGCATTATTTTCTATATTATTGGGGCCGTAGCTGAGCTATGCGAAAGAAATGTGAAATATGATATTTTCGCTTATTTCAATGACACCCGCAAAAAAGAACATATTATTATTAGGTATTTAATTTGAAATCATAATTTGGCGAAACTAAAGTCACATTTTTATATGTTGTTTCTAGGTGTTTTTTTAATTCGCGTGGTTCTAAGTTCGCTATTTCGGGCATTCTGTAAAGATTAATTATTTAAAAGAATAGCTTTATTTCAGTGTTTTGCAACTTAGAAAAAAAATTATTTGGCTATTAATAGAGAAACCAACACATGAAAACGCCGACTTCATAAAAACTGTGTCATAATGAGGATCATTTCGATTTTTAGCTGTGAATGCAGATTTATAGGTCTAAGAAATCCTTAATATACAGTCCAAAAATTTTTGTTCTACGACAAAAATTGACGAAGTTATGGCAAAATTACTAAAAAAGTTCACTGACCGCCCGGCGCGGGATCGATGACGTCACTATATCCGATCCGAACGCTGCCGGCGTACTGCGTGGATAGAAAATATTTTTTTCTAGCCAAACTATCAGTTTTAGAGAAAAACTTGTTATGACATTTATTCATCAGAATAAAGTAAGCTATCGATAGATAGCTTAAATAGAAATTGTGAAAAATATCGCAAAAAATCCATACGCTCATACGATTCAGTGGAACGCGGAGACGCGATTAGGGTCTCCGCGGTGGTATATTTGGCGATTTATTCAAATAAAGTGTTCATAAGTGTTGTTAGAGTCATATCTTCGTCCAAGTAAAATATAAAAATGTATAAATATTAATTTATTTACTTCTAACAATAAGTATAGCTGAGGCAGATACACTCTGCCTAGGCTACAAGACATTGCTATGAAGATCATTTCGATGTACACGCAATACCTACCTGTTATTTAGTTTTTCTGAGTTAAACCTACGTACCTACCTATCTATTCGCCGTTTTTTTTCTAAAACTGATAGTTTAGCCGGAAAAAAATATTTTCCATCCCATTAGTACGCCGGCTGCGCTCGATTCGGATATAATGACGTCACGCGGCCTTGCGTACGTTGACTTTTAGCGGCAAAAACGGCCTATGTTTATTACTTAATATCTTCGTAAGTAATGGTCCGATTTGGATAATTCAAAAAGATATATCTTTCTTATGTCTTAAAGATTAACGTAGATACTAGTTTTATTGAATTTTCTACAACAGTACTGATCTTCATGGACTGGTGGTGTCAACACGTCTATAGCAACTCTGAAAAGCGACGTCAAGTGTTATTAGAATGTATAAATTGATATAAATGATGATAATTTTAACATTGTTGTGATCTTAACAATATACAATATAAAATAATAATGTCATGGTTAGCAATAACATAAATACATTTATAATAATAATAATTTATTATACTTTTATTATCTATGATTATTAGATTGTAATCGTGTGTAAGTAGTTGACGCTGTTTGTAATATAAAATACATCACGCTTTCATATATCTTTGTTTTTTACTTATTAGTCGTTACCTCTACAGTGTGAGTCTTGATAAAGTGCACATAAAAGAAAATAGATAAATTATAGACCTATTTTTACGGTAGGAAAAAAAATTATTTTTCTTTCAGTTACTTACCTACATTCTAAAGAAAACGTCATTTTTAGTTATTTGATAAATTTCTCCAAATAATGCCCTTATTACCACCAATATGGTATTATTTTCTATTATATTATTATCTTTGAAAAACCAAAAATCTCATGTCTCTATCCCTAATTCGCTATCACAAAGTTAGCTTTGATCGTTTGAACAAAGGCTTGCCACCACATTATTCTCCGTAGAGATAATTTTAATTAAAATGCTTAATTTACTTCGAAATCTTTTTTTTTTATCTAACTTGTTCTTATCAAAATTACAAAGGTAGAGCCACTTTCAGCTTCGTTGTTAACGAAGCGTTGAAAGGCGCGCCCGGATCGACTTAGTTCAAAGTGTTCAAACGCTCATTGCAATCGTTGTGATAGCACAGAATAATAATAAGTACTACGTACAGAAGTTTTACTTCGCGAAGGTATTTAAAAAAATGTATGCTCAATGTCATTAACAATATGGTGTAATTTAGCCTGTCTCAAGAGTCAAGCACCATTTTGTTGACAAACGTCAGTGATCGGCACTGCGCCGAAGCTATAGATGAACCACGCTGAACTGTCCCACCAAACTCAATGACAGGGGGGCGCTACCATCGTTCAACTATATGGTTTCCAACATGGCTAAAATCTGAACCAGCGATCCGGTATTGACGGTGGCGCCCCACTGTCAATGTCATCGACAGGACAGTCCAGTATTTTGGAACTATATAGGGCTGACTTCGGTAAAATGATGTGACGTGAGGTGCCAAACTGCGGAAAATGGCGGAGGAAATACATGATTTAGCATGAATTATCAAGAATAATATTAACTACTTATTTACATCTCAGTGTCTTTAGGCAACTTAAAAAAGTACATTCTGTGTTTTTATTATTATTTAGGCAGTTAAATACTGCACAGTATTTAGTACACCATTTTCTTTATTTTCTTCCATCATACACAAGAATACGCGTGCGTGAGTCAATGGTTCGCTCGTATGTGAGGCCTTGTCGAATAGTATCCTGTAGGTGGGCCATCGTGCGTGTTTTGTTTTCGATGTAAACTCGCGGAGATGAACAGGCCTGGTGATAGGGACAGAGACATGAGATTTTTGGTTTTACCAGTAAGGTAGTACAATGGAGATTAACACGAACAGATAAAAACCACCTGTGACAGGGGCATTATTTGGAGAAATTTATCAAATAAACAAAAATTAAAAAACAGATTTTTCTAAAAAAAAAAGAAAAAAAAATTTTTATTATTCATTGTTGCCGTTTTCTGGATATTAATATAGCCTGTTATTTAGCATTTTTATCTGCGGTTTTTATTTTGACAAATTTTTGACGTTTGTCAAAGTTAAAGTAAGATGGTGCAATCCAGCCTTTAATTTAGCCCGTTTTCCACCAAAGCGGAGAAGAGAGATGCGTATAAATAACCAATCAGATAGCGTTATTTTCACATCACCTATTTGCTCACAGATGTAGGTAAACATAAAAATGGTTTAAAATGAAACACGCATTTTAGTTTCAACTTCGTTTATTATTAATCATCCTTTATTATTAAAAGTGAATATTCATAATATCTAATAAAGTAGGCGAATAACGTTATTATTTACATCAAAAGACAAATAGACAAGGATTTAAAAATAATTAGATGGTAGAGTGGTGGCGAACATACGGATTAAGTTTATTGTTTGTTTTTATACCGACATTAGATTTACTTTGATTTCAATTTGGACCAGGAGAAATGACAGGTTTAATTGCGACTGACATAGAATAAATACTGCTGGCCCCCTAGACAAAACGCACTTTTTGATCGAATCGAAAATCGAATCCGTCAAAACTCCATACAAAAAAGGGACTTTTCGACCACTTTTCGACTGGTTTGCGATTATAATTTGCACTTTGTCTAGACCCACTGGACCATATCTTGTGTATTATGTGAGGTAGATATAGAAGACTAACCATTACTTTTTTTAAATTGTTTGGTTGGACCAGTTTTATTTTAACGAAAGATATAGCCAAACCCAAATGGTGTGGTTTATTAATTTTGTTCGATAAATATCTTTACGTGTTTTATTTGTTCTGTTTACTAATTGTTCGCCACCCTAATATAATTAAGCAGAAGTTAAGCAAAATAATATTAAAACCTAGGTCAGTAGAAACTTATGAAATGAAGAGGAAAATTACATAAAAAGACTGAAATGCATGATAGGATAAAATAATAACAAGTCCAACTATCTGGCCGCACACGCTTTTAGATTATTACTTATACGCGACTTCTTTAATTAGAGATACATGTATCACAATGTACTTTACATTTTATGTTATGTAGGTAGATACAAAAACTCACGCGATCAAAACTTTAACGTGTGCGCTCAGTTACAGAATATAATTAGGTAGGTAAGCGCGGTATCATTATTATATGTAAGAACTTCTATTTAATTATGCAATATGTTTGTGAATATTTAAACATCAAGATAGTAAACAATGCCATTGAAGACTGTCAATCAGAAGAGATACACCAACGTATTATTATGTACCTACGCAGTTCTATTTACGTATTGGTACACATTAATAAAATACATTTATCCGCTACTATACTTGCATAGTGGTATGATTACACAATTATTTTTATGGTGATACGGTACTGATACACATTTTAAATACACTTAGGATTAAGTAAATAAACAACTCAGGTTAAACAAAAAAACCTTGCGAAGCAGCTTTAAATATTTTCTAAAAAGCAATGTTTACATTTCAACCATATTATGATGAACGTGAACTCATTCAAACGCTGTAGGCGAAGGGTTAGCTACTTAAATCTAGACAAATGCACAGCCCGCGACAATTTCCCTACTCTATTTCGTTTGAAAAACGCATCTTAACCTCTACAAACAATGTCGAGAGACACAAATTGACTTGCGATCCAAACTACCAATACTTGCCTACGTCCTCGAACCCGCGCAAACGTCCAACGCTGTCGCAACATTGCCGAAACATTCGGTTCATAAATAGCGAATAGTTCACAGTATAGAAATACGTTATAAGTATCATAAGAAAGTTTAGTTTTAAGCAAAGGATAACAATTGTATAAAGCTGTAGTTATATTTCTTATATCATTAGTAGATATCTTAATTTTAAGACTAATACATTACGTTGAGTCGCTAACGGAAATATCCAAAAGTCCTCCAAAATATATGTTTTCAGAATTCGCCGAAGGATGGAGAGAGAGAAAGAGATGTAGAACCTACAAGTAAGTATTCAAAGAGTAATTTGTACACTAAATTTGGCAAAGACGCTATTAAAGAATAGTGCTCTCCGTAAGTGCTGACCGCGCGCGGCAGCGGCGGGGGTGGCTGTCGAAACGTGAAGTCGTGCTATAGAAAGATACCGTACACAATCTACGTCTCACACTACGATTCTAATACAAGGATAAATTTGTCATGAACAAAGTACAATATGTAATTAAAGATATTTATTTGTCACATTGTTATCTTAAAACTTGACGAGAGAGCTCAGGGAGCGCACAGCGCTCGCCTCAGCGCGGGTCTCGCCATGGCATTTACATTTTCTTACATTACGAGTTGAATCGCACACTTTTGTGATACGACAACATCATTTAGTTATACCACTAACGAATTGCTTTTCAATCACTACTTTATTATCAAAATAAAATCATATATGTATATTTGCATCAACGTCTCTTTCTTAATTTAGTAATTAAATTACAATTTCATAAGTTCCAAAAAATTTTACGTTTCACGATGTAGCGTCTAAAAATGTAAAACGTTTGTTACTTATTTATTTCGATTAAAAGGATTTAATTGTGGCTATGCCACTTAGCACACAATTATTAGAACATTTTTCAACAACTCTGGGGGCTGTAAAAACCCAAAAAACTGTAAGAATGCCAAAAATTCAATATTGTCTTAATGCAAATTTAACTTTAATGGGGCGCAACTCTTAAAAACCTAACAATCTTTCAACAATAACAGTAAATTTATAATAACGATTTTTATCTGAATCTTAGGTGTTGAGTGTGAGTCATTGAAACTAATGAGTTGTGTGACTAGTGAAGGATGAGCTAATTTGCATCTACTAATAGTCTTAATGAAGAGAAATGATAATGATCTTGTAACATACTAGGGTCAAGATATTGAATAATGTTGTGTTCTCATGTGAGTACATTATTATTACATAATTATACGAGTATAAGTAAGTATAGATAAGTTGGAAAATTTAGTGTGAGGTGTTCCTACACCCCATCAAATATTTTAGGATGAAAATCTACTATGACATGAAAGTATAAAAGATTTGTCGCAGTGCACTTGACGAAGTTTGTACAAACTGGCCAACGGGCCAGGAGTCATCTCTCGCACGGATTTGGATTTGCATTCAACTGTTTAGATCCAAAATTAAAATTTGCATTTCCAAGAAGGCGTAAAAACACTATAGACACCTAGTGCACGCCCACTCGTCGCAGGCGGTACTTTGGATTTACGTCAACCTAGACTTTAAGTTTTCCTTACTATAATGTTGCTAATTTACGCCGTACCTACTTCAACGCCCTCTTACGATTACATACTTATTTCTTTCATACACAAAAAGCCGGTAGCGATAGCAGTGTTCAAAACTTGAAAAGGAGCAAGATATAAAATTTGCCAACACGAAATAAACGGCGAGGGTGGGATACGCTATTTAGTTCCGCCGTCAGCCATACACTCAACCTATCATACGATTATATTAAATTATAAATTATATTTACAATAAACCTCCACGAATGTAGACAAAATTCAGGGTTGACAGTTCTTGACCGATTAACGTTAAATAAGTATGATTACATCGCATGCGATTCGAGGCTCGGCTCCGATGAAATAGGGTCTGATTTCCAAATAATGCTTATTCAGGACGCGTGAGCATTTTTCATTGCGATAAAATCGTCGATTCGGAAGTTAAGCGACATTAGCCGAGTGTTTTGTCAATTTCAAACCCCTTCTAGTTCGTGCGGAACGGAGTCGACAGATCAGGCATTTTCGTGGATTCATAAATGTGAATTATTTTCATCGCATTGTCGATAAGTCAGTAGGTATATACGCAGATAGATAGTTCGTGGAATAGGAGCAGAGATGAGGCAGTAACACAGTTGGCACTCTGCCCAATCGGCACCAGCACAATTTATTACCGTAGCCTTGTCTCGCTAGATCAATAGACTAATCTCGCGCATTTGCGCGTATTTACGCTGAATTTTGTTACACGCTACACGATTCTTTTACGTTCTTTTCCGCGGGCAGTCGCATAGAAGCTAAACAAAATTAAATGTGTTGCATAAACCACCGTAGCAGTCGGTGTTCATCAAATTACTTGTGAAAACACTGAAATGGTAAACATTTATTAAGCACATCTTATTGTAACACTTATATACGCATATTTTGAAATATTTGGAAAATAATAAAAGCCTCGCTCAATGCCCACTGTTCATATTGGCAAATATAGCTTAAATTTAAAATATCAGCTACACGCCGCGTATTATAAAAATAAGTAAGTATCACATAATACCTACGAGTATAATTGTCTTGTTTATTCGTAGGACCTTCCTACACAATTGAAACTCTTTGTTTTATTTTTTTCCGCGGAAAACATAATACAGAGTAACAGTTAACAAAAGGAATGTAATATTTAATGTTGTCCTGAAGTTGCTAAATCAATTGAATAAGATTAGAATGCTTAATTGATTGTACCGGACACGCGGCGTGGTTGCATCGGTGGTTGCCTAAGTAAAAGTGAATTCCGGCGAGAGGATGACCGTCGATTAATCGCCCCCAAGCGACAGTGCCTGCACAATGCGTGGGTCCGCTTTGCTGCCCTCACGGAACTCCTCCAGGGTCAGGCGGTCGTCGTGGTTCTTGTCCATCTGGTCAAAGATCTTGTCGACGCGCTTCTGCGGTGTGTTCTCGTCTTCTGGCTGAGGCGTCTGGCCCTGTAAACCAGAAGGGTTTTGGTTATTACGGTTTTGTTTGCTACGAGCTTTGGTTACGGGCTTTGTTTGCTACGAGTTTTGGTTACTACGAGTTTTAGTTGCTCTGAGTTTTGGTTACTACGGTTTGGTTGCTACAAGTTTGGTTGCTACGACTACGAGTTTTAGTTGCTATGAGTTTTGGTTACTACGGTTTGGTTGCTACGAGTTTGGGTTGCTACAAGTTTGGTTGCTACGAGTTTTGATTAATACAGGTTTTGTTTGCTACAGGTTTTGGTTGCCACGGGTTTTGGTTGCTACCGATTTGGTAATTACGATTTAGGTTGCTGCGAATTTTGATTTCTGAGGGTTTTGGTAACGGGCTTTGGTTGCTACGAGTTTGGTTGCTACGAGTTTTGATTATACTCGGAGCAAAGACTCGTAGCAGGCGGTGTCATAATAAAACGTGCATCACATTTTCTCTCGCATTCAACTGGTTATGGGTAACGTCACATAGAGGCAGGCATACCGTTGTTTATAATACGTAATAATTAATAAAATATTGGCGAGGGTGTATCTGTGTTTAAAAAATTACTTATGACCCCCGCCTGCCATGAGTTTTTGCGTCGAGTATAATACAGGTTTTGTTTGCTACGGGTTTTGATTGCCACGGGCCGTCATAAAACGTGATAAAACAACTAAAAATGTATATTGAAAAATAAAGTAAAACTGAAACAAAAGTTTAAGTTCCGGATGAACTCCAAGTTTGATTAGATTTTTTGCCCATTAAGTTAGTAGCTTAGTTAAGTTAAAATAAAGAACGAGGAACTCGTTTCCTGGCTCTAATGGTACTGGGATGGCAGTTTAATTTGGGGTAGGCAGAGGCAATTATCTGCAGCAAGCAGTAAATACAAAGTTAAAACTAATTATTTTATCGTGAGGGTCGTAGTAATAGCAGGAAACGTAATTTTGAACATTTAGAATTAGTTTCAATTAAAAAAAATCTTATTGTAAGTTGCTTAGTTTCATAAGCAATACTTATTAACTTTTATTGCGCCCGTATTTACAAACGAAGCTTGCTTTAGTGAAGCAGCAAATCGAACGCACAGCGTTGAATAGAGCTCTGTGATTGGTTCGTGTGTCACCCTGTGCGTCCACGCACACTGTGAGACCTTTTAGTAAGTAATGTTTGTGAATATGGGCGTTGGTGACAAGCGACTCTCCTTGGCTTCACACGGGTACATTAGAAGTAATAATAATCCCAACTATAATATTATAAATGCGTAAGTAACTCTGTCTGTCTGTCTGTCTGTCTGTCTGTCTGTTACGCTTTCCCGATTAAACCTCGAAACCGATTTTGATGAAATTTGGCATAGAGATAGTTTGAGTCCCGGGAATGAACATAGGATAGTTTTTATCCCGGTTTTTGAAACAGGGACGCGCGCGATAAAGTTTTTCTGTGACAGACAAATTTCCACGCGGGCGAAGCCGCGGGCGGAAAGCTAGTAAATAATAAATAATAAATATCTTTGGACAATTTCACACAGCGCCATCTAGCCCCAAAGTAAGCAATTAATATGCTTGTGTTATGGGTGCTAGCTTAACGGATATACTACTTATATACTTTTTTTTTAATACATACATATTATACATAGTAACACCCAGACCCGTCACAGAAATTAAAATTCATCATTTCAATTTCTGCCCGGCCGGGAATCGAACCCGGGACCTCTCGGCATAGTAGTCCGTTCATAACCACTACACCAAATGGCCGACGTATTTACAATGTAGTATTTACAATATTATTATATTTAAACCTTCCTCTTGAACTACTTATTAATGGTATAGACGGCACTCTGTAACTCTTTTAATAGTCAATATTTATTTCATACTATTGGTAGAGTTTATCTTTGTTCTATACAATGTAGAGACTCAAAATAAATTTGAAGACAAAATGGTACATGTTAGAAACTGATTTCTTAATTGGTGCCACGGGAAATCTCCAGCTTTCAATGGAAATTAACTGTAAATTGGTACATCATAACCTTGTCCATAATGGGGATGTTGCCTGGGTCAAAAAGCAAGAGTTTTAATTAGTCCGTCAGTTAACTTATGAAAAAATACTCTACACGTATTTTTCACTTTTTCAAACTAATGAAAATTTAAAGAGATAAAGCGCCCCAAAGTTCATAAGAAGAGGCCCGTGACGTCAACGCTTGCTTAAAAATGCCGCACGTTGTGACGTCGTGCGCAACTTCAACGCACCATAACTATGTAATTATTTGTTAGATTGACAAATAAAAATATAGGTAGGTATGTGTCCAATATTTTTTGATAACATTACGGACTAAAAAAATTTTTTTAGGATTAAAATAAAATTTTTTAGAATAAAAACTGACTTTGAATAGAAAGAGGTAACAGTGTTTATTATTACTATAATTACACTATTATTCCCAACAGCCAATTTCCAAGGAACAGGCACAGGAGGAAATAAGGCTAACTTAATATATTAAAGATGAAATCAAGACCGCGTCGTCAGGGAAACTAGGCAATAACAGCATATGGATAGATGGTTAGATAATAGGTATAATGAAGTAGAACAGACTGAAATAGATACCTAGTCGTATATGATAGAACACGAGGAAATTAGTTTTTAGTGTGCAAAGATAGCGCACGTTATATTCTTCTTATTTATTCGACTTAAAAAAAGGAGAAGTTTCTCAATTCGACTGTATGTTTTTTTTTATAAACAAGTGGGAGAGAGCAATTCTCCCTGGGTTGTCTGGAAGAGATCGCTTCCTTGCGATAGTTTATTTTGTCAGTTTGTGTGGTGTGCAATAAAGATTATAATTTTATTATAAGTTAGAAAATTACTTCCTTCTCTTGGGAAAAGTTGTCATATTTTAGTTGATCACCCACAATTGGGTCACCCTGTTTAAATATCATCATTTCAGCCCTAGGACGTCCACTGCTGAGGATAGGCCTCGCCCAATGATTTCCATAATGACTGGTTTTAGCAGCCTACATCCAGCGCCTTCCTGCAACCTTTAGCGCTCCTGCACACGACGCCGCCACCGCTCCGCCGCCGCGCCGTCGCCGCACCCCTACACTGTTCATACGCACGGAGTAAAGCCTGCTGCCGCGCCGCCACCGCGCCATCAAAGCATAATTTCGCCAGCGGCGAGAAGCATAGTAGAAAATAATACATACCACCATCTGGTAGATCGCGTCGACTATGTTGTACATTTCTTCCCGCGTGATGTAGCCGTCGTTGTCCACGTCGTAGAGACGGAAGGCCCCTGGAAATGGAATTGAATATATGTAAAAATGGTATAAAAACTGATATAAAAGGTTTCCTGAAAGGGTTTGACATTTGAGTTATGGGAACCACAGTTAGTACTTAGAACTTACTTTCATGTTTTATTGCTATGTTTCGAGAGAAACGAGTATAATATGTTAAATTGTTATACATTACAGTCACATATTGAAAATGTGTTAGAGAAAAAGGTTTTCAGGGACTATTCAAGTTTTTACTTATTTGTTTAGAGTTTGCCCGGTTCCTGAATTGAGCTTAGGATTGTTTAAAATCAAAACATGGGTAAAACGCAGATTTTTGTGGGAAGTCACTGAGTACCAAAAACTTTATCCCAATCCCAACTAATATTATAAATGCGAAAGTAACTCTGTCTGTCTGTCTGTCTGTCTGTCTGTCTGTCTGTCTGTCTGTCTGTCTGTCTGTTACGCTTTCCCGCTTAAACCTCGCAACCGATTTTGATGAAATTTGGCATAGAGATAGTTTGAGTCCCGGGAAAGAACATAGGATAGTTTTTATCCCGGTTTTTGAAACAGGGACGCGCGCGATAAAGTTTTTCTGTGACAGACAAAATTCCACGTGGGCGAAGCCGCGGGCGGAAAGCTAGTAATTTATAAATAGCAGACTTACAATGTAACTTTTCGTCGAGATTCCCTCTTGACGTCACCGAGAGCGCTCGTATAAACTCCTCAAACTCGATGGAACCATCCTGGAAATGACAGGGAAGTAATTACTTACAGGAAATTATTTTTATTGATTTCAACAACCTTTTATATTTTACGAGACTCCTCAAGCACAAAACGCAAGAATAGACAGGTTCAAATATTGAATTATTTCTATGAAATTTTAAACCTATTTTACATTAATTACTAATATTTATAATTAGAATTAATAGTAAAGTTGCTTCAAAATACGGGCCGGTAATAGGTAGTTTCTTTACTTCCATGGGGTAGGTATAGGGTGACGTAGCTTTGGGTACACAAGTACATTATTTGACTAAATGATTTGTGTAAGAACAACAATTTATGTGATGTTGCGGCGTGGTTACTACGTCTATCAAACGTTGTATTTGACAGGTTTTCGTCGGAGCGGCACCAGTTGCCGTCTACCGAGATATTCAAAGTTACAACTTTAAAGGTTCGGCCTAACCAACGCGTACAGCCTGCGTGTGCGATAGCGATGGCGATCAGATGTCGTGCATGAATATTTTTGTAGAGATGAGGGTCCTGACATTGGTCGCGATTTATGCACTCGCCATCGTTGGTTTGGCCGAAGCTTAATTTGACCCTATGAATACTAATTTAAAAATATTCATTCAACTCTTTGAGGCAAAGACCTAGATGATGTAACATTATTTAATTTATTCAATAGGCCATAAAATGCAAATGCCTAGGGCGTGTCGCCGCTGACTCCCAATTTATAGCACAGCGAAACATCTGGATCGACGATATCGCCTCATGAATATGGAATGTTGCACTCAACGGTTACCTAATGCAATTATACGTTGAAGTTGACCTATTCATTAGTACGACCAGCCGAATCATAATTCACCACTGATTTGAAAATCAATTTGTGTCGGAAGATCGCGGTAGGCTTGCTGTTTGGAGTCCGCTTTCCCTTTGCAAAGATCAGATACGAGTTTAAATAAAAATATTTACCGACATTTTCGGTATTCAAACCAAGACTGCAACGAGTAACTCCTGGATCTACTTCTTGAACGTCGATAAAACCAACAAGTGAGAGTTGTGTTATACCGTTGAAAGTTAAGCTGTCTTTGCACTCGACATTAAACTGAACTTCAATAGGAGTTCAAACTTCAGGATGGACCTGCCACTAGCTGTGGCATAGGAAGCGGAGACAGACATAAAGTTTCTGCCAAACAATGTGTGAGTTTTTAATACGCTTTAACAGTTGGGAGTAGAAACTTTATTTACGTTACTATTGGTTTTAATTTCTATGAATAAATACGAGTATGTGCAGTGACGTGGGTATTCGGAGTGGCAAAGTTTTAAAAATTCTTCACGATACGTTTGGTTGGTATATGTACTTACGTATTTAAGACAGGACCATCATTAAGGGCCTTCATAAGATCTTTAAAATTAATAATTTATTACCAACTAAAATGAGGAACACTATAAACGCCCGTATTCACAAACTATGCTTAAGTGAAGAGCAACTGAACGCACAGCGTTGAATACAGCTCTTTGATTGGTTTGTGTGTCACCCTGTGCGTCCGCGTGTACTGAGAGACCTCATAGTAATTTTTGTGAATACCGGCGTAAGTAGTTCAAACTTGTCCTTAGCGACAGAATAACTTTTACTTAAAAATACTTGTTTGTATCTCTGAACTCACTGAAAAATCATCAATTTGAACTTGAATTTACGTGTTAGTAGATTTACCTACGATTAAAGTAATCTATAGTGTAGCGAATCCCGAGGGAAAGTAGATACTTTTTTAAAAAGACAAAAATGACTTCGCACTGATTTTAATAAGAAAACAAATTACAATCAAAAATAATTAACACAAAAAATGCAAAATCCGAGAGTTCCGATCGCAGCGACGGCTGAAGGCAAAGTGAGCCCGAGAATATTTTTTTTTTGAAGGGACGCGCGCTGGTAGCTTGAGGAGCTTTTCCAGCTTCACCGGGCAGAGTGGCGAGTACAGAAGGTACTCTAGCCGTTTGGCGATCGTCGGTCCGCTACGCGAAGCCCAGGCTCGTCCGCGTCGGTCGCAGACCGACGTTCGCGATCGGGCCGTATCGAGCGCATAAGGCGCCCGATCAGTGGCGAACCCAACTAGAGGGTTGCCCACCGCGGTGTTGGACCAAAGTCCAGCCTACGGCGGGCTCACTCTAGTGGGCCCGATCGAGGGGACTACGGACGCGGCCTGAGGGCGCCACGGTAGGCTCGGACCTCGGCTCAGGCCGTGTCCGAGGGACGGATAGGGGGAGCCCGAGTCTCACTGCGCGCTGGCTTATACAGTGTGAGTCACGTTAAAGTGTACATATGAAAATAGATGAAACTAGACCTATTTTTATCGACAAAAAAGAGGTCAAAAATTTTTTGAGATTTTTTTTAATTTTTTATAGAATTTTTTTTCTTCCAATTACTTAATGTAAAGAAAACGTAATAACTTTTAAACTAAGAGGTATATCCTGATAAAATAAAAACAGTAATAATGCTAAATAACAGGCGATACTAAAAAAATACATAAAATACACAAAAAATGCCAACAAAGAATAAAAAATGATACTTTTTGAAAAAAATCTGCTTTTAAATTCGCGTTTTTTTGGTTATTTGATAAATTTCTCCAAAAAATGCCCCTATAACAGGTGGTTTTTATTACTTTGTATTATTCTCTATCGTATTATCTTTGTAAAACCAAAAATCGCATGTCTCTATCTCTATCACAACCTTTGCTATGATCGTTTGAACAAAGGCCTGCCACAACATTATTTTCCGCTACAGGTAGAGACAATTTTAATTTTAACTAAAATGCTTATTTTACTTCGAAATCTTTTGTTTTTATTTGAAATCTAACTTGTTTTTATCAAAATTACAAATCTAGAGCCATTTTCAGTTTCGTTGTTAACGAAGCGTTGAATGGCGCGCCCGGAGAGGCTTAGTTCAAACGATCATTGCAAACGTTGTGATAGGGATAGAGACATGCGATTTTTGGTTTTACGAAGGTAATACGATAGAGAATAATACAAAGTAATATAAACCACCGGTTATAGGGGCATTTTTTGGAGAAATTTATCAAATAACCAAAAAAACACGAATTTAAAAGCAGATTTTTTTCAAAAAATATCATTTTTTATTATTTGTTGGCCTTTTTTGTGTATTTTATGTATTTTTTTAGTATCGCCTGTTATTTAGCATTATTACTGTTTTTATTTTATCAGGATATACCGCTTAGTTTAAAAGTTATTACGTTTTCTTTACAATAAGTAATTGGAAGAAAAAAAATTATATTAAAAAATTAAAAAAAAATCGCAAAAATTTTTTGACCTCTTTTTTGTCGATAAAAATAGGTCTAGTTTCATCTATTTTCATATGTACACTTTAACGTGACTCACACTGTATAGGGACGGTCGCCACAAATCTTCACATCTCCTACAATAGCATAATTGTGTATTTTTCAGCAAAATGACCAGCCTCCTAGTTAAGTGGCAAAACGTGACAGTTGTAAGGTCGAAAGATGTTCTAAAGGCCTGATTTTTGATTCGATCAAAAGTGTCACTTGTCTAGACCGAACGAGTGTGGACATGTTCGCTTGTTCATTGATAGGGTGCCTAATGGAACAATTACGTGGTCTGTCTCTGGGGCCGGGGACCGGGGTAAACTAGTTAACGTTTCCGATGACATGTTCGCACGGCATGTCACTTCCGGTTCCGGCCCGTTTTAGGCCACGTTCCCAAAGACAATTGAATAGCAAAGCGTTCATTATAGTGATTGAAACATAATAACCGAGGCTTTCTCCATTTATGTATGTTTTTAACATTAATATAATTACACTTACTTGGATGCCAATGTTTTTACTATCAAAGGTTTTAAGAATTTTATTTTTTTCTCTTATATCCGTGGTCCCAGCGGCAATCTGTAGGGAACTACAATAATCCACTCCTGAGTCCATTTGCACTGTTCTTTGTCATGAGCAAGGTGGAGTCCAGTGACTCAGTTGCCCTCAGTGGTCATGGTTTCTCAACTGTCCTGGAATCTACTAAGGAGACCCCTGACACTAGCTCTTTGCAGTCTGCTGAATAGGAAGCCTTCCATGATCATGAGTTGTTGTACAGATGAGTTTGGATGATTTGAAAGTCTATCCTTGTAGCGGAGTGTGTGGCTCTTTATTTCCTCTCTGACTGTGGGCAATGGCAAGTCCTGATAGATGAGCTTGTTGCTATATACCATGACCATGGGATTTGGTAAATCAAACGTATGGCTTTTGCCTGGAAGCGCTCGATTATGTCGAGATTGGAGTTGGCAGCTGAAGATTTTTAGAATTAATACAGCTTTTAAGAATGAAGACAATAAAGTATTTTTTTTCCAATCTAGGTAATATTGATAACATAAATATATGTAAGGTTACCTGGATACTTACATGTAGTTAAGATATTTTTTAAGCTTAAACCACTGAACTAACTTTGACGAGTTTGTTGGGGAAGGACGCTTTTGGTGCATAAATAAACTTGACTTGGGAGTGATTTAATTTCTCAAGACGGGATATAAAACTTATCTTAATTATATTTTCGGTAAAAAATAAAAATTGACGCTAGAAAACATAAAGTGAATAAAATGACAAACAACTCAAGCATCCCCGAGTAAAAGCTTCATGCCGTAGAAGCTCGCTCTATACACCATTAAATTAAATTAAGTCTTCAAAAAAGAGCTTATGTTGTTTAAATGCTTGGTAATAATTATTAACTAAAACTTTTTTATTATTTAAAGTTGGTAATGGACATGGCGCACAATTTTTGTTGAAGATGCAAAAAAAAACTACAAAAAATTTGAATGAATACTGTATTTTTACTTTTTTGATATCTTTAAAAATGACTGANAACGAGACTGTGCCCGAAACTAGGCAGAGCCTGACTTTTATATCATTCGTAAAGCGAACGAGGGGCGGGCGGCAGCGGGGGGGCCATGTCTTCTCTCACTCTCGCTTGTGCGAGCGCTAGTGCGACAGAGACGGAGTATCGTTGATGATTTTACATTAAAATAAGTACGTATATTATTTTTATATTATGTTATTATTATATTAAGTAATAATTAATAAATTCCATTGAATTAAAAACAAATTAATGGCAAAGAAAAAGGGGTTCCGTCTCGCTCTCGCTAAAAATAATGCGTCACCAGTCACCACTCACTCGCACGACAGAGATGGAAATATTCAACACATTCTCTCTCTCTCTCGCTCGCTCTACGTGTTATATTTTTCTTAAAAAAAAAAAAAAAAAAAAATCATCAATATCAATTAAATAATTATTTGTGTAGGTAATGATCCGGGGGCCAGTTCATGCAGGCAAATGTAAGTAACATAAAACTGAAATTTTGTAATTATAGAGAAGAAAAAAAATTACTATCGAACAGCTCACAATATANCTACGTGTTATATTTTTCTTAAAAAAATAAATAAAATCATCAATATCAATTAAATAATTATTTGTGTAGGTAATGATCCGGGGGCCAGTTCATGCAGGCAAATGTAAGTAACATAAAACTGAAATTTTGTAATTATAGAGAAGAAAAAAAATTACTATCGAACAGCTCACAATATAGGCCTACTATTACTATTCATTTTGTTTCTCTTTCATTCATATTCAATTTGCATTGATTGTTGCGTGCGTGCGCGTAAGAGTATTATTGCAGTTCATTTACTAGATAATTATTATAGTGTTAAATAATTTATTGATCGGCATAAATAATAATAAAGCGAGTGAGTAAGTATGTAGGTATGTATGTACACATTATGGAGTGTGTAATAAAATGTTAAACTCGGACTCGTCATCGACAGAAACTTGTGTTGGTGGACACACACATTA